TGGGATAAAATATGGGAAATATAAAGCATGAATAAATGTGCACTTTTGTGTTGATAAGTCCCACAGCTGGTTTACCCTTGAGGCTTAACTCTGGGTTTTGGGAGCCTGAGAAGGATTTAGGAATGGAATGGATCCAAGTATCTGAAAAACATTTATTGAAGGCCCTTCAACTTTGAAATATTTACTGAGTGCTGGGAGGAAGAAGGCAAAAGATGCATTGCTTTATGAACAAAAGCATGGAATTTCTTCCCTTAGCAGAAGAAATACTGCACAGAAAATGAGAGGATGTGATGGCTCTCCTTTGCAATCATGTTCCTTTGGGCATTTTAAGCACAGCTGGCTGCTCCACTCCTGATTCACAGCTCTCTTCTGTCAAAATTATTGCTATGTTTGTGTTTGTACACTGGAAAGAAGACACCCTGCTTTTTTCTATCAGTACAACAATTTTAGCGCAGCTGTAATTTAACTGATCAGTATATTTATAGTTATAAAACCGGAATAGAGAGGTAGTGATCCTACAGTAACTCCATTACCTACTTAATTTTGTTCCTCTTGATTTTTGTTAAATATCTTACACTAGCACATTAAAGAATAACTGTGGAATTGGAGCTACAGCGTAGAGGTGAAATGCAGAAAGTGTTCCTACTTGCTGGTAGTTAGGAGAGGAAAATGATGAACACTATTAGTTAAAGTAAGCAAAGTGAATACTAGACTATATTAATTTACTGGAAATAATATGTGAATAAGTGTAGTTAGAAAGCAAGAATATTAAAATAATGAATTCAGTTTTAAGAAAAGATACAAACCTTTTCTTTTGCAGTTCAGAGTTGGCACAGGGAACACATACATGTGGCACAAAGAGGAATCAAATTCTGGTTTGACAGCTTCAGGCTTCTCCTTTTTTATGTTTTGGGGCACCTGCCTGTCCTCTTCACTACAGAGCTGTTCAGCTTTTATCTGCTTCAGCTTTTGATTTTTCAGTTCTATTGGGTGCACACACTTGGCATAGTTTCCCAAATTCCTGTTTGTTGGAACCTGTAGCATTGTAACAAGAGTTTCTAGTTCACAGTTGCAATGCCAGGGATTATCATAAAGACGTAGGTAGTTTAGACTGGGTGTATAAATAAAAATCTCCTCTGACAAAGTCTTAATTTGGTTATGTTGAAGTAAGAGTGTTGTAAGTTTAGTCAAACCAAAAAAAGCCTCACTCTCAATTTTTGATATATCATTCTGTTGTAAATCCAGACTTTTCAGTACTTTGTATTTGGAAAACATATTATTCTTCAATTTACGAATCCTGTTTCTTGCTAGCAGCATGTGTTTTAAATCCTCTGGCCAATTAGATGCCACAAAAATCAGTTTTCTTTCCTGACAATCTAGGTATTTCTCATGAAGATAAGTGTATATATCACATGGCAGGCCTTGGGCGTTGCGCTTAACAGTGCTAGATGCTTTTCTTAAGATGTTTTCCCTTTCATTGTTTCTCAGACTCCTATTCCTTGTCTTCCTACAGTCAGATGCTTTGCAAAGAAGAAGTAATAGTATAATAGTAACTACTTGCATCCTGACATTCAGCTGGCCCCAGTTATTTTCTTTGAGAGCTGGAACAGTTGAAATTTTTGGATAGTCTTGATCAAGATCTGAGGAGGCACAGCTGGGGTATATGGGTTCCCTGTGTTGGAAGAAAAGTAAAACATTAGAACAGATGAAACAAGCATTCAGTCAAGTACTGAATCATCAGACTACTTGGAGTTTCACAAATACTTCGGATATTTAATGTCCTAGCTCTTTTTTTGTTTTTATTGTCTCTGGTCTACTGTCCTTCATTTTGATTAGCTATGGGAAAGTGTATGGACCAGCTTCTAATTAATCTTTGTTAGAAGGTTCTCATGTATTCAGAAAAATGGCATCAGGCTGAATCTTCTTTGCATTTAAGTTCATCTTAGAAGATGAGCTTGAAAGAGGAGCTTGAACCTGATATTTTCCAGCTTTGTGGGTGCTGACACACTGCAACACATGGAGTCAGAACAGAGTAAGTTATCCAGTGCCTGTCAAAGCCCCAGCTTTAGGCTGCGTTCAAGTGTGGAATTGTTTTTAGGTTGAGCCACAATTTATCGTCACCAGCTCTGCTACTACCAAGTGCTTATCATGGCCTGTGTCAGGTAGGCAAAGATTGCTGGATTGCTCTGAGGAGGACCCAAAAATAATATTTTCAATTACCTGTGAGGTTACATGCATCTGAGCACAGGCAGAGTGCAAAGGGAACCCACAGGTCCTAGCCAGAGCCTCCTTCAAACCACTCCAGGTCTGGCTGCCTGAGGAGGGAAAGTGCAGAGGGCTAAGTCAGGAGCTTTTGCTTCTCCAAGAAAGCCAAACACAATCAGTAGGAATCATTGTTAGAGGAAGACAAGGACTGCAACAGTGTCCAAAATTGCCTCAGTATGTTTAGTAATTTTTTGCATATATTCCTTTCTGAATTTCCTGTAGTACTCCTGATCACTGCCCTTTTCCTTCATTTTCAGTAAAGCTTGGCTACAAGGTTGTATTTCCATAGAAACATTTTCATAGAATCAGGGGGGTTGGAAGGAACCTCTGAAGATTATTCAGTCCAACCCCCTGCTGCAGCAGGAACCGCTAGGGCAAATCACACAGGAATGTGTCCAGACAGGTCTTGAAATTCTCCAGAGAAGGAGACTCCACAGCCTCTGTGGGGAGCCTGTTCCAGTGCTCTGTCATCCTCCCAGTAAAGAAGTTTTTCCTCATGTTGAGGTGGAACTTCCTGTGTTGCAACTTGGTGCGTTTCCCCTCGTTCTATCACAGGACACCACTGAAAGAGATTGGCTCATTCTTGACATCTACCCTTCAGATATTTAAAGACATTAGTAAGGTCCCCTCTTAGCCTTTTAACTCTCAGGTTTTTCCTGCTTTTGCTAGACAGTATCATTCCTTCTGAAACTTTTTTTTTTTTTTTTTTAATTCTTCACTGTTTGGCTTAACAAAATTGATTTTTTCTCTATTACTGTTGACATCTTTGCACTATGCTCAGTCCTTTATGACCTTAGCACCTGGTAAGGTATTGAATCCCAATCTTTAGTGCAGATCATTTCACAGATGTTCTGTTTCTAAAACATGGTTGTTTTGGGCTCAAAAAGCTCATTTTTATTTGTAGGAAGGGTGGCACAATAAATCAACTGATAGCAGGTAAAATTATTTTGAAAGCAAAGAAATTATTCATTTTTAAACAAACTGGTACATCAGTATAAACCATGTCTTATCTGTAGGGTGTTTTCAGTATTTATGCAGTCCTTACTCATCACAGTGATGGAACAGTCCTGTCTGTGGATGTTCCTGCCTTTCTCTAATCCTTGTGGCCAGTTGCTAATAGTACCTTTGAAAACCCATTGACTGGTGTCTCCATTTTGTTCCTCTATTTGCCAGTTGCTTATCTGCATTCAGATTATGTTAGCTCACATTGTAAATGGGTGTTTGCATTGATGACTTTATCCTTTACATGAAAAATGCATTTATTTTGTGTTATGTTTTTAGCAGTGATATGCTAGTCTGTGTAAATTGATCCCATGTTTTATTAACTTGAATCATAACTGGGATCCTCTGTGTTTTTTTGAACTGTTGACCATTCTGGTAATGTGATAGTTCATTCTATCCAGGAGAGTCTGGAAATAGAAAAAGAACTTGGGGGGAGGAAAGGTAATAAATAATTATGGAGATATTATTTCCTCTTCCTTTCCACTTCCTAGGTCTGAACTGGAATTTTTTTACTACTATTACAGTGTGTCTGCTGACTAAATTATACCAAAATGGGCAGCTGCTTTCAGTAGCATGTACAGGTTCACACATAAATTATAACTGTGTTTCATTTAGTGCTAGGGCAAAAAATGTGTAAGAGGTATGTAATTTCTGTGGGTTAGCAGCCCTAAGGGTGATTTTAGTTGGTTAGGTTCTTTTGGGTTGTGTAATCCCTCTCAGTATTGTCCTACTCTTCAAAAAGGCCCTGAGTTAGATAGAATAACAGCTCATCAGTGAAGTCACAGTCTCTGTAGAAGTGAATATACAAATCTATTGTTGGACTAATGCTTGATTGCAGTTGAGAACATGTAATTTGGCTTACCATGTGAAAATGTACTTGTAAAGAGTTTAAAATTATATATTTTTTTAACTCTCTAAACCTTTCATACTGCATTTTCCATTCTAGGTATATGGATCAGGCCTTTTTTTTTTTTTTTTCATTTCAGTTAAGGCAGATCAGTTATTTTTGAAGATTAGATTAAGCCAAAAAGTATTACTATGTTTAATAGGAATTTTTGCATCTTTGCCTTGGAGAATAGACTCAAAATTTGGCAGAAGAGCATCTGAAGGGATGTGTAGGTGTTGTTTCTAGTGTCAGACATCTATATTTCATTATTTGGTTAAAATCACAACACTCTCAAAATAGGAGTTTCTAAAAATATTAGAGTATATGCAGTCAGAAGAAACTGCCTCAGATAGCTAAATTCTCTGAAATTCCACCCTGCAGAAGGTAAAAGGGACTTTCCTACAATTGTTCTGATCATTGCTCTTCTACTTTCAGAGGGAAGAAGTCGCTTGTGTATAGGATTAGGTACTGGTGTCATGATGCATGGCTAGGGGGAAGAGAAAAACCTATGTAGGAAACATAATTCTGGCATTTCCTAAGATGAAGTTCCATAATTAGGTAGCTTTCTGGTCCTTTGGTAACATAAGACTGGAAACAGTTTGGTTCCTAGGCCAGGCATTTGTTGATGGAGTGTAAGAAGTATTTCCCCAGCACAACTTACTCCAACTTTTATTCTACTTCTGCTTTTTTGTGCTTTCTTCTCAGTAATCTGCTATGGCCACAGTTTCAGGGAGGCTGTTTGCCTAGGTGGACTGAATCTGTAACAGGAATTCTTATGTTTGTGTTGTACGGTAAGAGTTTGAACTGTTGACCTTTAATATGACATTTTTTGTTTATTTATTTTTAGGTGAATGTAAGAATTTGCAAGACTTAAATCTCTCGGAATGCCAGGGATTAACTGTAAGTACTAAAGCCTTTTTCCAGAAACTGAGAAGGAAGATTTTTTTTAAGTGCTATGGTTGTTTGGGTACACAAATCTTCCTGGTAAGAAGTAGAGACTTGTGTTCTTAATTACTTTGAAAATGAAGTTTAGTAGGATTTAGAGATACTCAGTGAAGTTCTCATTTGTTTTCTACAGTGCCAGGGAAAAATTATGTACCCAATCTCAATGAATTTTAACAAATAGGCTTTGAAACTTCACAAGTCTGGGGGGAGGGGTTTTTGTGTTATTTTAAGTTTGAAGTTGTCAACAATGATAGAGTTTAATCTTATGTTGTTTCCAGGTTCCTTGATTCCTTCATTCCTCAGTACACTTGGGCTCTAAAATGTCTCACTAGTTTTCTAGAGATTTTTGAGAGCCTTTATTTAAAAGTGTTGTAAGTAAGCAATCACCATGATGTATTTGTTCTTTCTTTTTCCTGTAACATTTTCAGTTCTATCTCATTTCCATTAATTCTCTTTAATGTTTTTTCTTTGCTCTTCTCTGATGTAAAAACAACATTTGACTCTGCTTTCATCAGTGATTTCTTAGCAGTAACACTGATATGTGCACATTTTTCTAATAATAAAATCAATCTAAGAATAACATTTTTTTTTAGAAATTATGGCTACTCATAACTGTCTGTTCTGTTTGGCTGTTAGTGTGCTTGCTAATACCCATTTGATATGTACCAGCAAGAACATTCCTAAGTGATGCTAGGGTCAGGTTCATAGGATAGCAGGGTCTTGCTAATTACACTCTTGCCAATACAGCCTACTAAGCACCTGGCCACCTTCTTCAGGTGGGCACACTGCTGACCTCTACTGAAATTGTTACTGACCAGGACTTTCAGGTCAGTGTGTCTGATAGTTGCTTTCTGTCCAGTGTCTAGATGTACTGATGTCCATGTACTGATGCATGGGGTTATTCTTTCCCAGATGCAGGACTTTGCGTTTGCCTTTGTTGAACTTTGTGGGGTTTCTGTCAGCCCAGTTTTCCAGACTAAACCTTGATACATATCAGTTCTAGACTGCAGTGTGTTGATACTCCCGCAGTTTGGAATAATCTGTGAATTTGTTGAGAAGGTTTTCTGTTCCTGTTGTCCAAATCATTTATAAAAATACATTTAACAGTACTGGCCCCCCTATTGACCCTCGAGGGATGCCAGTTGCCACAAGCCACCTATGGGACTTAGTACCCTTGGTGACAACTCTTCAACCTGACAATCCAGACAAATTTTTACTCAGCTTGAAGACCAGCCTTTATTTTACCAATTTGGCCATAAAGGATATTGTGACCTGTGTTGAAGGCCTTGCTGAAGTCAAGGTACACAGTAGCTGCTTTTCTCTCTATACCCATAGATCCAGTAATTTCATCATTCATCATGCCTTAGTGAGGAATCCTTTGCCCTTGGTAAATCCATGCTGGCTGTTGGCTATCACTTGCTCATTCTACATGTTCTTGGACAAGGCTTCAAGGAGGATTTGCTACATAGCCTTCCAAGGGATTCAGGTGAGGCTGACTGGCTTATCATCCTTCTTCAATTTCTTGAAGATGGATATGACATTTCCTATCTTCCAGTCATCAGGAATCTCCTCTGATTGCCTTGACCTTTCAAAAATGAATGAGGCCTCTCAGTGACAGGAGACAGCTTTCTTAGCAGTCTTGGATGCATCCTGTCTTGTCCCATTTCCTCAGGTGTTCCTCCCACAGACTCTTCTAGCAGGCTTCTGGGAGGCATCTGGTAAGCCTTAGAACAAGCCTTATCAGTAAAAAATGAGGCAAAAAAATAATTTAATACCTTAGCTTTGAAGATCAACCATCTCTTCTGGGCTGCATTGCTCTACAAGAATGTCTGCCATGTGATCCTGTTAAGCCAAAATCTGCTCTTAAGTTCAGGCTTTTTCTTTGACCATTTGTCCAATTTTCTTCTCTCAGGGTTGTAAACTCATTTTCACAGTTGCATTAACCAAAGCCACTTTAGTTCTTCACATCCTTGACCAGTTTTGCCTTTTGTGTGAAACACGCCCAGAAGAACATGTTCCACAGACCACTCGTCAGTCACCTGTATCAAGCAACACTCTCTATAAGTCTCCTGGACTGGTTGTGCTCTGTCTGCCATGTTGTTCCTTCAGCAGATATTGGAGTGGCTGAAGTCTGTCATGAGTTAGTAGGTCAGACAATTGTAAAGCTTTGTTCAGCTGCCCAAAGAAGGACAGCTACCTTCTTTTCTTGAGCAAGCAGTCTGTAACAGATGCCTACCACCAGGTAATGCTCATAGGCCTAGCCTCTAATCTTTACTAATAAGCTCTCAAGTGACATGTCACTCGTTCCAATGCAAAGCTCCTTTAATTGAGGCATAACTTCGCAGAATGTGACCCGTCCTCACTTTCTTGGCCTGTCATTCCTAAAGAAATGTAACCATGAATTTCAGCCCTCCATGTATGTGTGCTACCCTTTTGCATCTCTGGAATCCAAATGAAATTGTAGCTCTGCACCTGTGCATGGACTTTGATCCCTGATGGTAGATTCCCATGCTACAATTGTTTGCATTCAAACACTTAGATGGACCCCTGGTTGTGCTGCATTCACATGGAAGGTTTCAGAGTTTTCCTTGTCGTGCTATCCCTCCAGTGCTTTCTCACCATTCCCTAAGCCTCCAGTTGTCTTCAGGTTATGGTTATTGTCCATCAACATACCTCATTTTACTGATACCACCTCTCTCAAATCCTTTGTTGCAGGAATGTATTTCAAAAGCACAAACTTTAAAGTTGATTGGTATTGAATTTCCAGCTATCTTGATGGTCTTTTTGCCTGATTACTGAAATAGTAGAAAGATGATCACGACATGGCCAAAGATAGACACTCAACTACTGTATTTCCATGTATTAAATGGTGACTTTTTGCCTTTCTATTAGATTGACTTTTACTGTGAAACATCCTTCCTACTAGGAGATCTGTTCCCATTATATTCTAATGGAATGATATGTAGAACAATATAGGTAGTATCACTTCTGCAGGTTGATAAAACATGGAAGCCTTACAAGTACTTAAATTTAATGTTCCACCTAGAGGGTAGACCTAAACAGGAACCACATGCTCTGTAGGAGTGTGGTGTAAATTGTTTCCTTGAACTGGAATGTTTAAATTACCATACTTAGAGTACAGTAGCATCATGTACCTCTTGGTATTATACTTTAAGGCTTTTAGACAAAATATCTGTAATGTACAAAATTATTATGATGATTTAAAGATACTTATTAATGTTATTTTCCCTTGTTACTCTGCATAGAGATGTAAGAGAAATAAATACAAATATAACTCCTGAATTTTTTTTAAATGTGTTATTCAGGATGAATCCATGAGACTCATATCAGAAGGCTGCAGAGCTCTTATCTGTTTAAATCTGTCATATACAGATATTACTAATGGAACACTACGACTATTGTCAAGGTAAATTTGAACAGAAATATTAAAGTGTGTTTGTTTTAATCTTGCAGAAAACTTAGAGGCATATGTAGTAGAAATACTCTTTGTGAGTGATTTACAGGATTCTGTCGGCTACACAAAAGGAAAAAAATGCCTCATACATTTGACTTAGCAGTTATTTTTTCTTTTTGGTATTATTAAAAATACAAACCATACATTTCACAGTTTTACAGAAACTTTTAAAAGAATATACTAGCCAAATTTTTTTGAGGATGTCCATTTATTCATGGTGATGCAAGAAGTTTCCCAGTTAGGTATGTTCTAAAAATATACTTCTGCAAGAGAGGATTGCAGATAGGTATATTGTGTGACCCAAGTCCTTGCATGATAGCTGCAAAAGAAAGAGGTATTCCAAACTCTTATTTGGAAAACCAGAGAGCTGAAGGCAGAGAATTTACAGTATTACAGAGGTCTGCCATCCCTGTTGTAGATGTGTCCCTCCATGAGACTTGAAGTCTGCTTAGGAGGTAGAATTGCTGCATTAAAAGCTGCCATAAAGAGGCATGCTGGACCACCTGAGCTGCATAGAGATTTGAAAAGAGCTGTACTTTGTTTCTCTTTCCTGTGAGAAAAACTAGTATCTTCCTTTCATCAGCAGCATCACAAAGTCCAGGAACATGTTTTTCTTTGGCATGTGCATAATACATTTTGACTTTTGTTTTTTCTTAGTCTGTAATGCCATATGCTCATACAACTAACTTTTGTTTTGGCAAAGTTTTTAGTGTCTCCAATCTTACCACTCATCTCTTAATCACTTTTATTCTTATCCTAATATGTGTTTCGGCAATGTTGGTTGGTACTTTTCCTTTTTAAATTTATGTTGAGGTTTGGTACAGCTGTTCTATAGGTCTTCTCAGTGTCTATTGCTCTGGTTACCTGAGCATACTGTTGGCACCAAAAGTCAGAACTCTCCATTTCTTTTGATGCATTAATAGCACGTACCCAAGAAAGAATTCTCCAGAGTAGGTGCAGCTTTCAATGCAGGAAAATGTTTAAAACAAAACCAAAAATTTTCCACTGACAAAATATATTTTGCAATTAACCTGTGCTCCATTGGTAAGAAATTATTCCCCAGTCACACGATGCTTCCAATTTAAAGCCATAAGATAACACTGTTTTTATTGACAACTTTTGGACAAAATACAAAGCTCATTGTTTCTGAGATTATGGGGATGTACAAAAAGTTGCTGTCTTGTGAAGACTGTGATAGCAGACAAGTTTAATAAACATTCCAAATACCATCTCAAAAAAAAATTCTACACAATTAAAGCATCAGCTCACCACAGGTCCTGTGTAACAAGGTAACTAATAGAAAGTTCTCAGAGGTGGCAGTATTGCATTGCATAATGCTGCATGTGACATTTGCTATTGTATATCAGATGTGCATTATTGGAACAAGGAAAAAGTGAAGTGTAGGCTGAGTGTGCTCAAAACTATATGGTAACTTTTAATTCTACTGTACCATTCAAGCATTTTAACATCTGTGTTACACAGATCATCAGCTACAGTTTTTCTCTGAAAAGTTCTGTTGCATAGGATAGACATGAATATTGTCTACCAGGAGCAAATGTCAGAAGGTCATTTTGTCTGATTGGTTGAAGAGAATGGTCCTGAGATTTCTGGTGCCAAAATTAATTGAAAAATCAGCATGACAGAATTCCTGCAGAATTTGGCTGTAACAAAGAGCAAAGGTTTTTAGCAGTCTGTGTACTCAAGCTTAAGTTTTAAGAAAGCTGTCACTTTAAAAATGGCAGAAGAAAGCACGTATTAAAATTCCCAAATCATAAAAATGGGTCATATGACCTGTAAATAAAATCAGTGTCTCTTGAAAAGTATTGGAAGGTTTTGATCACAGTCTTCAAAGTGCAGCAAAAAAGGCTTTCCTGTGTCTTAAGCTGTGCAACCTTGCAGCAACATATACTTTTAAAAGACTCAGAATGGCCAGAGGGTAAAAACCAGTCTCTTCATTTGTTATCTGTTTTATCAGAGAAGTTTGGAAATGTACTCTGTCTGACTTCAATTTTCCCCCCTCATTTTTGTGGAATATGTTGCTTATGCTTCTACAAAGAAGGATACTTTTATTTCTGTATTTAATGAAATGTTTCCATTTAAAAAAAAAAAAAAAAGCACCACAAACACGTGCCCTATTATTCTAATATGTGGTTCTGGTGCATATTGTGTGGGTTATTTTTTTTTTCCCCCATTAAATGTAATCTTATAAGTGATTTATTTGTATTTTTGCAGTATAACTTTTTGGGATAACATTATTTGCCAGCTTTCTATTGCTTTTTTTTTGTGTGTGCACTTCAAGTTAGCACGTTTCCCCACTCTATATTGAAAGTATAAATTCAGTTCCAAAGATATATGCCACTCCTTAAGCAGTCAGCTCCTCAGTGGGTGTTCCCATCTCACTCCAAAATGCCTGTTTTTGCTGACTTGCAGAACTGCATGAATATATCCTTACGACGAAATGTCTACCAGAGCAGTAGGTCCTAATTCTAGATTTTGGTTTTCTGTGTGCTTTCATTTGTGGTGCTTGTGGTGGTTGTTACTTATTCCAGTGAGAAATGTAGTTCAGTAAAATGAATAGGTTTCAATAAATTAAAACCAAAGCATCAGATGGAAACTTAAGTGTATTCAAAGTATAGATTCTTGCTTTTACAGAGTGCTGTTGACTAACATTTTCCACTTACACAGTTGGCTTTCTTTTAATTAATGTTTAGTATATAAAAAAAAAGGTTTTCCAAAAGAACTGATCAAAACCTGATATTCGATGAGTCGCTTTTGGATAATTCCCTTTTGTATCTCTCTCAGTTTTTCAGATTATTTTAATAGTACTCTTCTAAGTAGTTATATGACTTGAGAAGCTCTAACTGTACATTTCTGCTTTTAATGTCCTTTGATAGAGTTCTGGTTTTCATTTCCAGCAGGCACTGCTTGTAAAATGAATGGCAAAGACAGTCCAGTATGCACTCAAAAATCCTAGTTAATTAAAAAGTAAGCTTTTGCATTTACTTGAGATAACTTTAAAATGACAGTTTTCATATGGTAGAATATGTTGTATGAAAGTGCTATTCCCCAGTAATTTGCGATACGAGGAGCAGAGGAAAATTTGCAGCAGAATAAAAGAGACTTTCAAATTTCAGCAAGAAGCTAATTCTGTTTTATATCAAACATATTTTCAGTAACTTGCAGAATACTTTAACTATAGTATTTTATGTTATTTTGTTTCTGTAACATACTCTTGTAATAATTTTCCATTTGCTTTACTTTTTTTTTTTTTTTTTTTTTTTTTAAAAGCTGCTTTCCCAATTTGCAATATCTGAGTTTAGCTCACTGCAAAAAATTCACAGACAAAGGATTACTGTACCTGGGCTCTGGAAGAGGCTGTCACAAGCTCATCTATTTGGACATTTCAGGTTGCACACAGGTTTGTAGTTCACGTCTTTCTTTCATTCTGTGGAGGAGAGAATCCTTCAGATGACTGGCTGCATCCTGCATTCATGGTATACTGAAGCAGAACAAGCACTGCAGCAGACTTCCAGGGTTTTGAATTACATGACTACAGCTGTTTAAATTTTACTAAGGAATAATAGCACTATAGGTTTGGATCCCTTCCAACAAACTGTCAGATCTATAAACAGCTAGTACTTACTGCATAATGAGAACAAGGCTTGCTTTTTGTAGCCATAAATAGACTAATTCTATGTCATGATTAGTTAGAGTTTTAAATCAGGAGTTTTGAAAATGTAGTTTTTCCCTAGTTTAAAAAAAAACAAAACAACAACAAAAGCCACACTGCACTGGGAAAATAAAAGTTTACACTTGATTTCCTGATTAATTAAAAATGTTAACCTTTACTACTATTCTGTATTAGTTTAATACACAAATTGAAGTAGCATTTATAAATGAACTGCAATCTAAAAATAATTAATGTTTTGCATTATTTTAATCTCCTACTGATATTCTAAAAAAAACCAAGGTTTTAGAATCTGGTACTATTTTAGAAATTTTCAAGTATATACTGTGTCTGGAAACATACTTCGAAAACAATGTGAAATGTCAAACTGTAAGGCAATAAAAGTCTGTCAGTGTTTTAATAAAGACTCCCACATGTACACTGAGAAGACTCTTCAAATTACAAAATATATGTGAAATGATGAAGAGATGGAGTCTGAGGAATATAACAATTTCATTTTCCATCTAACAAAAACTCAAGGATGAAGGCAGATAAGACAACAGTCTTGTTCTGACTGCTCTTTACTGTGAGTGTCTGTTTCTTGTTAATGAATATCAAGCTGAGACTACTGTGTGGGGACTGTGAAATTTGAAATGAGAGCTGAGGTTAGAGGAAAAATAGGAACTACCTACCTCTGAGTTACCTTTTCACAATGCCAGTAATTGGTTATTTTTTCCAAAAGTGACATTCCTGCTTGTTAAGAAGTGTAATCATGAGCTGTAAGTATCTGCCTTTAGAAAGCATTGAGCTAATAAGAGTCAGAGAAGTGGTGATTATCAAATTGGGAAACCACAACCCTCCCCTTTCCAGAGGAAAGTGCGTTTGCTTACCAGTGTATTTGAGAACTCTGGAAGGGATTCCACAGATTCCTCCATTTTGGGTTTCCCCATGATTCTGGAACAGTGCTTAATGGTTATGACTGAGTACTTGAGTAAACAATTGAAACCAAAAGGAGCATCAATTGCATCACTGTTGCAGAAAGCATTTTAATAAGATGGAATTGATTTTTTTCTTCCTTATTGAATGAACTAAACCAAAGGGAACTTCTGTAAGACTGATGTTTCAGAATTAGAAAAATGTAGTGAGGCTAAAGTATAAATATTGCAATTATGGTAAAAAATGTTCTGTAGAACAGAACATATATTCTATAGCATATATATTTTTCCGGTTTTTTCATGTTTCCTGTTTTTTCCTTAATTTTAACATTGCAGGTCTTTTCCTGGGAGTTCGTATACTACCATTACTACTTAGGATTTCAACATCTATGTGGAAGGCCCACTTGTAAAATGGGTGATTTTGCTAATGATTTTACGAATAGCAACTTGAGGACCAGTGTATTTAAATAGCTTATTAAAACATAGTTAGGCAGAAAACTGGGAATTAAACACACATTTCCTAGTCTGTTGCCACAAAACAAGGTGGTCTTTCCTTTGACTATTATATTAATACATGGTAATAATACTGAATGAATTCTAAGTATGGTGGGGGGTTTTTTGCATTAAAACTCAGTAATTAAGATTGTGCCATTATGACATGGGTGGTAAATATTTTCATTACTGAGTTTCAAGATCTTTTCATCAAAATATAGAGATTCTTGTGTCCTGCCCAAAAGGTGTCCTGTTACACCATTGCTATTCTCAGAGAATTACCTAGAAAGCATATGATTTCTTTGTTCTGCTTCTGAAGCTGAACAGTTCAGGTGGAAAATTTTCTGCTATTATACACAAACCTGAACAGATGGAAGAGTATAAAGCAACTGCAAGTCATGTAATGACATACTAGATTGAGATTGTACAACAAGAACAGTTTGGTGAAAGGTATTCTTAGTCAAATTAGAAATTTCAAGGCTATTTTCCAAGAAACTGGCTTTTTATTTTTGGTGCCAACATCTGTGGCTGATTTTCAGACTGGAATTATTCTGGCCCAAAGTGGTTTAGAGTGGTCTATTGATTGCTGTAGTTTGCAACACCTGGGTAGGAGATCACAAACCATGGGGAAAAATTAATTTGACCCTTTTAGTTCTTAATGTTCTGCTTTGTTTGTGCAGATGTCAGAGAAGCAATCAGCAAACGTGTAGGCTTCACCAGTTTTCACCATCTTAGTTCTTTCTGCTCTGACTTCATTGGGAGAATTGTCATTTTGGCAGCTTCTGTCAAATTCTGGCTTCTTCAGACAGATCAAGCAGCAAAAAGGGGCCATCACTTGGGAAGACAATCTGAGCAATGTTCTTTATTTCTTGAAGAAGAGAACTCATTGCTTACATTTCCTGAGTACAAACATGTCTCACTGAAGGATATTATAAGTTACACATGGACTATTCTGTATTTTTAGAATGCTAATTAAAGAGTATGTTAATATAAGCTTTTTTTGGACAGTGGAAAATTAAAAGAAAAATAACATGTGGAGGCAAGCCATTACTGTAATGAGCCAAACATCTGAAAGGATGTCACAATTTATTTTATCACTCTTGACAAACACAGAACAGTAAAAAAATAAAGATAGCCCCTTGTTCACCACAAGAATATTTCCTCAGCCCGGAGCACTGATTTTCAAATTTCTGCACTCACAGTGCATTGACAATGCTAGAATCATAGAATAGTGTTTCTTTGCTATGTCTGTGCCACAAAGACAGTCTGAGAGAGTTGGGGCTGTTTAGCCTGGGGAAGAGAAGACTCTAGGGAGACCTCATAGCACCTTCCAGTACCTGAAGGGGCTACAGGAAAGTTAGGAAGGGGTTTTTCACCAGAGAGGGCAGTGATAGGACATGGGGTAACAGTTTTAAACTGAAAGAGGGTAGGTTTAGGTTAGATATTGGGAAGAAATTCTTCACCATGATGGCAGTGAGGTGCTGGAATAGGTTGCCCAGGGAGGTTGTGGAAGCCCCTTCCCTGTAGGTGTTCAAGGTGAGGTTGGATGAGGCTGTGGCCTAGTGTGAGGTGTCCCTGCTCATAGCACGGAGGTTGGAACCTGATGATCTTTAAGGTCCCTTCCAACCTTAACCATTCTAAGACTCTATGATTCTATGGTTCAAAATCCCTTCTGTGATGCAGACAGCATTCTGCCTTGCAGGGTGGGTTCCACAAATACGATCAGTTCAAGGGGAGAAAGAATGACTTGTAAAGCAGTACTGTATGTGTAGCAAATAAGCCAAAACCTAAATAAAAATTATGTGTGTTCCTATTCTTTGTATGTAAGAAACTATAAAAAGCTTAAACTAATTCTTACATTCTTGAAAGCTTTTCATCATTTTGGTACATTTATTTGCTAAATCTATGGGGACAAATCTTTAGCTGTGGCTTGCTCCATGTTTGTTTTGATGCACTTTCATTTCAGATCACAGTACACAAGCATACAGCTAATAAAAAATCCAAACTGGTAATTTACATATTAGACTGAAAACTCCTCACAAACAAGGGATTCTATTTTATGTACAATCATTTAATTGATTTCTGATCCTGTACATGCAAAAAATAGTATATTTATAACATTATTTAACTTAGTCATGCAGGAAAAGTCTGTTTTGCAGAATTTTATAGTACCTTAGACTCATTCAAAACATCCTCCCTCACAACTGGTTTAAAGGAGATTTAAGTGGGATTTTACTGATGCAGGGCAAAGAATCATGGAATCATATAATGGTCTGGGATGGAAGGGATCTTAAAGATCATCTAGTCCAACCCCCCTGCATGGGCAGGGACACCTCCCAGTGGACCAGGTTGTTTAGAGCCCCATCCAACCTGGCCTTGAGCTCTTCTAGGGATGCATCTTCCACAACCTCCCTGGGCAACCTATTCCAGTGTCTAACCACCCTCACAGAAAATAGTTTCTTCCTAATGTATATAATATAATATAATATAATATAATATAATATAATATAATATATAATAGTATAACAATACATCACACGGTGTTATTAATAGAATATAGTCCTAATAATACTAGTAACACCAATAATATATAAAATACTAGCACAGTATTCAATTCCATATGTATCCTGTAATTAATTGATTGTAGGGTCAAGCTGTTCACTCTTGAGGCAATCTATTAAACACTGAAATTCCAAGTAAGCTGGGAAAGCAATTGTTTTACTAACATATGCACAAATTTTCATATTTCTACACCTTATCTTTGAGTGCCTGAAGTTTCATAGGTAATTCATAGGGGCTTCAAAAAAGAAACTGAAGATTAAGGATTTATTGTTCTAGGAATAAAGGAAACTAAGACAAATACATATGATATTGCAGCAGCATCGAAATGTTGACTAATTTAATTGAATATTATCTGAACAGGTTTCACAGTGTAACTTTCTCAACTTGCTGCCTGAGATCAGTTATCCAGCCTTAAGTTAAAAAACAGTTCAAGTAAAAAAAAAATTTGAAACAATCTGTGCAGTGGTATTATTAGCTGCTTCAGTGTAATTGTTTTTGGCTTGCACGGAGGAAAACAATAAATTGCTGCTATTTGTGGTACCAAATAGCTATGTTAAGCAAACATTTTTTTTCCAGACAAAGAGATTAAAAGTCCTGTAGACTGCAGTTAACATTATGCAATCGTTACTCTATTCCAGAAGCAGATATGCTACTTCTGGCCCTCAGCATTCTTGAGTTTGATCTGATCCTTTAGAGAATGAGAATTCAACTTAATTTTAGGCATCTAACCTAAGATAATGTCTAGAAAGTTGCTTTGATTTATCTATGTAACAATTAGAGATGGAGAGAAGTCTCCAGAGGAGATTCAGACTTTCAGGTCCGACCTGTCTTGGGCTCTTTCTTGCTCTTTCCTGCTCCACAAGATCTCAGGTTTCATAATTTTTTAACTTAGACCCCTGAGTATGTTCCTAATTCCAGTGGAGTAAACAAAGGCTCTAGCATTTGCAGTCTGTTTTTTAAATCAGCATCAATATTATTGGCACTTTCTTGGCTTTGCTTTTTTTCCTACCTATTTCACTGATTTTAAAGTCCTCTCAACTGTGATTCCTCTTCTACAATTATCAGAACAACCTGCAAGACTAGCAAACATTTATCTCACTGCTCAGTTACATGACTAACATTTGCAAAGTCAGAAGCTTAAAAACTCAGGCTCCTGAGTTTGCATTTAGGTTTTTTCAGTGATATTTTTAAAATCTTGGCCAAAGCAGCAAGTAACGTAAGTAAGATCCATAATTTGCATCTGAATTTTAGATACCTAGACATGAGGGATCTTTTATTCCTACTCTCTGTATCAAACTGTGGTCACCAACCTCAGTGGCTGCTCTTAACAGTTGACAATGTGTTTATGGTAAAAAAAATAAAAATCTCAAGAACAGTTGGTACCAGGCCCCATTCAGCCCCACACCTTCCTCTGGCCAGCAGCCAGAGGAGTAAATTGTAGTTGGTTCCAACTGATGCAAACATTTGAACTTGAGTCGTATAAAATCTCTTCAGTTTGAACAGTGAATTCAGCATGTTCTGCATGATCTCAGCTTTTGAGTGTCTGTTCTTGGGAGCAGAGTTATTCTCTCTCATTATAGCAAGTCTGTACAGCAGTTACAAGGGGAAATCCTACTGCCATAACATGACATAAAGCATACTCAAACTGCTTAGTACACTGTGGCTGATTTTTCAGAAGAGTGAAAACTTCTGACTTCTCTTGAAAAGGCATTGTGTTCAAATTTTAATGGACAGTGTTGTTACCATGTGTTAGAACAAATTGTATGGTGTAACTTAGCCTCTCTTCACTTGGGAATGGTTTGCTCTTTGTAGTATATGGACCAAAAACAAGACTTAGTTACCAGAAGTACACCTCTCAAACTGAAATTTCTAGAGGGTTGAAATGTTTCACTTTAACATACTTAACTACTTGGTGCGTGTATGCCCAAAAAGCAACTGACATCTATTGAATTTGAGCAGTTGAAGAATTGACTCCTTGGAGTCACACCCTGAAGTCACACAATTGACAGATCTCTCTGTCCATTCATACTTTCACTGAATACATACACTGTCAGAGTATGCAGAATTGGTGATGTGGTCCTACATGGAGGATTCTGTGAATGAGCTCCATGTGATTGTGATTGCATAGAATCTTTCTTTGTGTTCTGTTGGAATTTAACACACATTTTACTTTGGATCTGGAAAAAGCAATGAAGATCTTTTACATTTAAGATTTGCATTAAACTAGATTCGAGCATGTGCCATGTGTGAATACCTCATAATGCTGGGAAAATAAAAGTAAAGGGATGTGACAACGACACTCCTTGCTACTCTTATAAATGGTGTTGACTGTAGAAATTGTTGTACCTTTCTCCTACTTGCCTACGTAGCCATATTTTCATAAGGGATCCTGGATTTGGATTATGCTGTGAGCATTTCAGAATAATATGTATACTTCATGGGTATGTTTTTCTTTTAATGGGCCTAATGCATTTCCTGTTTTAGTGAGCAACTAGGTACCTGTGATTTTAAAGTATTGAAAATATCTCAAGCCTCTCCTGTATTGTTTTTCTTAGGTTTGCTAAGACATATGTGTTTAATTTCTTTCTTAGATTTCAGTTGATGGCTTCAGAAATCTTGCCGAAGGCTGCAGTGGGATTAAAGATTTGCTAATGAACAAAATGCCAACTCTCACAGACTTATGTATTCAAGTAAGAAAGTGAAAAGAAATCTGTACTTTGAGAAGCTTTTTGGTGTTGTAACTGGGTTATCCTCTCAACTGACTGTAAAGAAAGTTATGCAGATATAATTTAAGAGTAATATTTCTCCCTGAAAACATCTTTCAACTGTTATCTAGTTATGCTTATGAATCTTGCTTATTGCAGTCACTTTCAGAAAATTTCAGTAGTTTTGTCTTCTTTTGCTATATGGGTATGGCTAAATTGCTATCTTCCAGCTTATAAATCATAGTATTTCAGGTTTTTCAGTGTTAAGTCTAATATGATATATGGGAACAGCATTCTTTTATTGTCTTTACTCATCAAAAAAGAACTTTCAGGCTTCTGCAAAAGTGATTATTAACTAGATCACTGTCTCAAGTGTCTGCCATACTTCATGTCTCCAGTTACTTCTTTTCCTTCTGTACCCAAACATAATAAATAAATGGAGAATTTCAGTAGTTCGTATTCTGCTCACTGTCTAGAAGTTAGTGTTAAAATTGATTATAACTATTTGTTTGAAATGGTAACATTTGGTATTGTATGCAGAATATTTGCTGATATTTTGTTACGTGACAGCATAGGTACATGAGTATTTTATTTCACCTTTTTTCCTTCAAAGGTTCTGGTTCAAAAATGCCAACAGATAATGTCTGTTGCCTTTCTTGACTCGCCACATCTTTCTGATAAAAGTTTTGAAGCCCTTGCTCAACATAAACTTGTCAAGGTCAGCATTGAAGGTTGGTATAATAATTCATAAAATTATTAGGACGATGTATTTTTTAAATTAATCCAGGTAATTTGAAATAGGTAATCTTATTTCAGTGGGTATTTGGATCAGGCCCTTAATGTATGTCAGATGAGTAACTTACATCTTTATGTATTTCAACAGGAAATAACCAAATTACTGATTTAAGTTTAAAGTTTATAAGTAAATGCTGCCCATACATGAGGCACATTCATATGGCTAATTGCCAGACGATTACAGATGCTGGTCTGGAGATGATTTCAACATTGGAGCATATTCTTGTACTGAATTTAGCAGACTGCACAAGGTACTGTACCACATACAGATTTCTGTAAAACATTGTGAAGCAATTTTAGTAAAGTTAATTATAAGTCCTGTCAACACATATTTCAGTTTTAAAAATAAATTATTAGAATGTTAACACATATATCTTAATATTTCTAAAAATATTTTATACAAGTAGTTTTTTGTTCCTGTATCCTGTTTTCAAAAATCCATTCATTATTATTCCAGTTCAAAGAAAAAAAACATAACTGTAGATGTAGTATTACTTAATAGTCATACTTTAGTTCTGGAATGTGGCTATGAAGAAGATGAAGCTGATAACCAAAGACAATGTCTGTTCAACAAATGAATTTAAATTTGGATACTGCTTACTTTTATGAATAGTAAAATAATAACTTCATAACTATCTAGTACTAAGATACTAAAAAACTGCCATTTTTTTACAATTGCCAAGATGACATTATTATTGCTTTTGTGGACGAAGGATGTATTTTAGGTGAAGACTGTTTTCCACTTCAGGAGTGTCATGTATCAGTAGAATCAAGGGTGGGAGGGAACAGGGAAGGCAAAACCTCCAAACATTTAAAAAAAAAACACACCTATGAAATAATACAAAGAAGATATAATTACTGCTTATCTTAATTTTTCTGGTGTCATGTTAAGTTTTAGGTACTTTGCTTTAATGTGTAACTAAGGTACTTTTTGTGCTTTTTGATGCTGTATAAAACCTGATAATGTTGCATGTAGGTGTGCTGAGACGTTCTGGAGCAACCCCACGACATCGTGTTGGTTGTTCAGCTGGGCAGATGGGGCAGTTGCCTGTGGTTTCTGGTTTGACATTTAGAAGGCTGGATTTTCCAGTCTGTTAGCCAAATCTTGGGCTATGAGTGTGCTTCCACATGTGTCTACTGTCATTACTGCAAAATAATTGCTAATTACCTTAACAAAACTTTTAAAGCAGTTGTAAAACTATGGTTAACTCTGTACTTACTTCATTGCTTTTGCAGACACTTGTGAAAGTTCCAGCATTAACAAAGTTATAGATTATAACTCATCTAAACTTGGCAAAGAGCTTCTCTCAAGAGAGATGAAACTGCAAAAGAGAAATTGATATTATTTATGTTTCTCTAATTTGGACACTTTGTTACTATCAAAGTTCACATTGTGAGTTAGAAACTTTTAGGAATTTCTCGTAGGAATCAAGGGAAGTGTCATATTTGTGGTAAAACGAGCTGCTTAGCCATCTTTGTGCTCTGAATCACTCTCCTTATTTTCACTGATGTTTTATCTTAGTCCAAGACTCTAACCCTTTCTAATATAATCATGTGGAAGATTTTCTGAGAAATGAAAAGGGGCAGAAAGAACAAATCTAACAATTCAGAGTTCTTAAATTACAGAAAGTATTTGACTCCGTGTGAAAAATGAAGAAAGAGATTAACTGATCATGATGATTAAAATAGCAAATTATATATATATATGAGTAAGGAGTGTCTAAGAATGGATACAGGCAATGTAGTGGTTCATACCCTTGGCACATTTTCCCAGTTTCAGGAGGTTATTTTCATGTATGATTAAAAGCATTGTGTGGCTTGTGTTCTTATACAGTTTATCAGCTGACTAGAGAAACTTAGCATGTGTGTTCACAGCACAGTTATTTCAAAAGTTATAATGTTACTTCAGCCCTCAAACCCAGTATGGTTACAGAATATATATATATATATCTATATGAATATATATATGTATGTGTGTATATAAATATTGAAATCCATTTAACTGTGTTGCCAGGCTCAGCATTCCTTACAAAATTTATTTAAGGTAATTATTCTGAAAGTATATTTCTGAAATCCATCTTCCTTGAATGAAAAACAACCACATATCAGCTGACTAGAGAAACTTAGCATGTGTGTTCACAGCACAGTTATTTCAAAAGTTATAATGTTACTTCAGCCCTCAAACCCAGTATGGTTACAGAATATATATATATATATATATGAATATATATATGTATGTGTGTATATAAATATTGAAATCCATTTAACTGTGTTGCCAGGCTCAGCATTCCTTACAAAATTTATTTAAGGTAATTATTCTGAAAGTATATTTCTGAAATCCATCTTCCTTGAATGAAAAACAATCACACTGTGAAATAACACCAAAACTGCCACAGTGGTTGAATTATTGCAGAGTGATTACTTTAACACTTCATGAATTACAGCTTCATCTGTAGCTTGTGGTCACACAATGAGGCTCTGTTCAGGTTATCGTTTTATTAGTAGTGCTATTCCTACCCATATGTTTCTAGGACTTTGGAATTTGCAGTGATTCTTTGTGCTGCAAAAAGCTGTACAAGCCAAAATATGATTCCATCCTAGAGAATTATGAGATTAATATTTTTTATTCATCAGGGAACATGGAATAAATACTGGGAATGCACAGAAAAGCTAACTGTGAAATAATGTTAAACATGCCAGAGATATGAACTGGATTGAGACACCCAAGTTGTAGTCAGCTCTCCAACACGCTCAACTTGGATGAAAGATTTTCTATATACTTAATTTTTATAACCTTGGAGTATATTATGAGTTTCTGATTCGTGTGTGAGACATACAATTGGTTCAGTGAAATACTTGCAGGAAGAACTCAGGTTAACTCTTCGTGTGTGTACAGAACAGCTGCTACATAAAAATGCTACCTCTGACTTTTGCTTCTGTGGTAGAAGATAATTTTTCATTTAAATTATTTCAGTTCCTTAAATTATCAAAGTTAATAAAACAAATATTTCTCTAAAATGTGTAAACAAGTTCTGATACTTTCTAGATGTTTTCCAAGCTTTGTCCTTTGCGGTTTTATCATATCTGCATGTTGGAACCAATAGAAGTTCTCATAATATCTAACAGACTTTTTAATATAATATTCTGGAGTTTAGCAGTTTCAAAGAGCAGCATCTTTCTAATTGAGCCATTAGTTATTCTTACTCTTTGGGTTTATGCTATTAAAAATAGCATAATTAATTTCTGCTTATCTGCAATGTAGGGTGCTGAACATAAATTGTATAATGGCTTCTCTGGAGTGGGAAAAATATGTATTTTAAATATTGCCTAAATTTCTCTTTTAGGATCAGTGATGAAGGTGTAAGTCTATTTGTACAAGGTTCTTCAGGAGCTAAGCTGAGAGAGCTGAATTTAGCTAATTGTATTAATGTCACTGATGCTTCTGTCATGGAAATAGCACAAAGGTACCATAGTCCAGTACTTTACTTTTCTGGTGTGGTTAGACTTTCAGTACATTTCTAATGTTGAAGTTCTTAATATGTTAATAAATGGGGAAAATTATACAGCCAAATGAATGGAGAGAATTGTACAGTCCCTTTTGGCATTATGAATCTCTTAATAAACAACCCATTTTATAAATAGGAATTTATCAATATAAGCATGGACACCTAAGAAGTCTTAATTTTAGGGGGGGAGGTGCTCAAATTACGGTTGTCAGTGACAAAACTTCATTACAAATTAGTGTGTATAAGTCACATTTTGTGCACTCTATAAATACTCATCTGCACAAACCAAAAGCACTCTATTGCTAAACTGCTCCAATTCTAGTTCCTTGGAAGTATTGGTGTTGGCAATTGAAAGACTCTTTTTAAATCTCCAGAGAGGATTGCAGTCAGTTTTTCCTCTCCTTACTAGATATCTCAGCAGGCCCCTCTTAATGCTTTCCCAACAGTAGTTGTGAATAATTGTAGCAAGCTTGCTGGTAAGCTAAGGAGTGCCGTCTCTGTTTTAATGGTGGAGTATTCCCCTAATGCCCTAAGCATGGATGAGGAGCTTGGGGTGTCAAATTTCTTAGGTCTTCTGGTTTGGTTATGGGAAGATCCAGTTTGCCATGGGGTCCTGGAGTCTGGTGTTGCAGTGAGCTTTGATGTTTCTGTGGAAGATAGGAGAGATGGGGACAAGTCAAGCATCATCATCATCATCATCATCATCATCATCATCATAACAACAACAACAATAACAATAATAATAATAATAGAGCTCCTTTCTATGTTTTATTTTAACTTGATTGCTCTTCACAGTTTGAAGTATTTGCATTGCTTATGAGTGGAATCCTTGGAAGTGCTTATGTAAACAAGGTATCAAAAGTCTAGAGTGCTTATTTTTATAGGTTCCCTGAAAAAAACTAATCAAGGTTATTATGTAAATATACTTACTATACTAAATTTCTATAACAGAAGTGGAAAGCTGTAATTTCCTGGTTTTTATTTAATTCAGGTGTTATGCATTGACCTACCTAAGTCTACGTTACTGTGAAAATGTGACCGATGCTGGAATTGAAGCCTTGGTAGAGATGTCATCCTTGATATCCATTGATATCTCTGGAACCAGCATCTCAGATACGGTATCTATATGAATAAAGAATAAAGAATATGTTTACTATTTATTTAGGCTTTCTGGAAAAAAGGGCAATAGAAATCCGTTCATGTAAAAACCTCATGGATATGAAGCAGTAGAGGTACAGTGTCATTAAAATGTGGTTTAGAAGTGTGTAGAGTATTTGCCCATAGATAGTCAGTAACCAATAAAGGGTAATTCTTAAGTTGGACAATTTTAACATTTGAAAGAGAGAAAGGGAAACCATCAGAAAGAGGAAGTCTGTCTTCTCTGAAGCTGATCTGAGAATGTTTGTTAAGCAGTATTTTTGCTCCAGGATGAGTAGGCCTCAGGAAAACTGAAGAAGTGGTATTTTAAAATTTTAAATTTGTGAAAGTTGTGTTTTCCATGAACTGGATTTTATAGTGAAAAATCCTGAACGTTAGCTCTAGCAGAGACACTGCCCTCTACTGTGGTCTAGAGAATAATTGCTAGTGAAAGATTTACTAACAAGGTATCCTCGATGTGTGAAACTGCTAAGACTCTGGAAAGCTAAACAGTGAGTGTGGGAGCCAGGTTAAACATCACAGGTCTCCACATTTGATGTTCTTGGCAGGTCCTGACTTGTGTGCAGGGTTCAGTACCAGTTCGGCTGTTTCTTTTGCTTTTGGGCAAACTGTTTACACTGAACACGGAAATCTAGGAGAAACTTCATGAAGAAAACTTGCCATAGAGACTATTCACTCAGTCACTGTTCAAACCAAATTCTGACCAAGAACTTTATCATTTTGCTCTAACACAGAGTTTGTATAAAAGTAATTAAAATGCATGCATCTTTTATGGAGGCCTGAAATAAAAATTAAAAAAAAATAATTAAGCTAAAAAAAGAGGGTTAGGAAATCCAAGGAGACTTAATTTAATGTGATCATTTAAAGTATCATAAAATTATATCTGAATGAAAGTGATGGTGCCCTGAATTACAGTCCCACAATATTTCAACATAAATGTTTTCTTTCTCCTTGCCTACCACAGCTAGTCTTTGTAAATGCTGTGTTGCTTCTTACTCTAGTTTTCACATAGCACAGCCCATGACCTCGGCAGCAAGCCAAGCTCTTTTGCTTACACTGCATCTCTAAGGCTTTCAGTTTTCTCTCTCACAAGACAGATAAATTACCCTGGAAATTAATAATTTAAAATTTTACTAATGTCTGATCTGATTGCTAGTCCTAGCTCCAAAACTGTTGCAGTTTTTGCTGTTGGCTGTGTTTAAGTGTGTAACATTCATGCATGTACATGAAACATATTTCCTAATCTTAAACATTATTTGACCAAAGGAAATCTAGGAGTCTGTGTAACAAGCTACTATTTGTATGCTTTGACTTTTTAAATATAAATTTACAATGTGCATCTTATTAGCATATAGATGAAGTTGTCTCTTTCATTTTAGACTTGGTAAGTATTGCTTTACAAATGTGGCAGAAAGCTCAGTGTTTAATGTGCAGTAACCAGCACCATTACTCTGTGCTGCTAAAGGAAAATGGTGAGGCTCGTATGCTTTTCTGTAGTCTGTGCAGTAGTAGATCCCTGCTGCTTTTGCTGTCTTACTGTTGAGTGTAAACAATGTAGAATGTGCAACGTAGGTTTGCCCTACACAAGAGGATTTTCTTTTCTGGTTTTTCAAATGACAGCAGAATTATTCTGCTCATCAAAGCAGAGTAGAATTCACTGCAACAAGGGTAACATACTGAAGTGAAGGATGGAGATGAAAAGATACAGTAGAGTCAAATTTTCTTACAGATTTGTATCCAGCCATGACTGACTTAAGCAAAATGAAAGGCTTTTTTCCACTTCTGGTGCCTTCCTCTTCTGCAGTTACTCTGGTGACCCATAAGTGAACATTCCTGTTGCAATCTGGCTTTTATTCAGGAAATTAGTTGCATTTGGAAGGAATATACTGACTCTTAGAATTGTCCCTGATAAGAGATCATGTTAATAAAAAAACCCAAACAAACAAAACTACAGTACCCCATAAACTCACCATGATTAAAAATATAGTTCTAATAACAAATACATTAAAAGTCCCACTGAAGTTTGAAGAAGTGTATTATCTTTGTCTGGAGTCTACTCATCAACAGAAAAACTGGAAATTAAATAAAATAGTAATTGCATGCATTCAGATTTTGGTATTATGTGGAAAGTTATGCATTTTATAGAGAGAGGAAATGCCTCAGCAAACTTCTAAACACAAGGTGGCATAAGGCAAGTAATTGTCCCCATGCTTAAGTTGTCTGTGTGCTTCAGTGGCTTCCTAAATATCCTCCAATGATGAGGATGTCATCTTTATGCCTGTGAGAAACTGGTGGCATACTCAAGAAGTTTCTGTATTTTTCTCAGTAGTGTTTTGACTACATTGCTCTTACTCCCATATATAATATTAAATAGCCCCCTCTATTAAATTTTAGGTATTAGTTTATTCACTCAGTTATTTTAGCTTTCATCCTTTTATATTTCAGAAAGTAGTTCCTTCAATTCAAAATTGAATTTTTTTTTCAAACAAGCAACACACGTTTTTTAGTCTCAATCATTTTTTTAATAGTGGGAAGGACTTTTGTTCTGGTTTTGTCAATCCAGTAGCACTAGAAATTGGTTCTTAGTTATAAACAACTTAAAAGAGACAAATGAAAAGATTTGCAACTTAGTGACAGCATTTAAAAAAAAAAAAACACAGACCAAAACAAAACAACAAAACAATCCACAGTGACTGAGCAAAGATGTTGAGTCCTTAGAAAAAACTACCTCTGAATCCTTTAAGAAAATTCACATTTATTCCTATCTAGCCTCCCATCCTGCTTTGTTTACCCTCATGCTCTTCTAAACGCTCTGGAATAGCAGCCATAGTGTTTTAAATTGTGAGTATGATGAACATGCTCATAAATGCAGAGATAATATCACAAGTAGCTTTAAATATAATTGTAAAGCTATTTATAATATACCCAAGGTGTTTAGGCTTCTATTACAGAGCTGGAAACATTAGCATTTAGGGCCAAAACCTGTTTGTCTTTCTTACACAATCAGACTCAGTGGAAATGCTTCCATGAGTTAGAGAAACACTTTCAGTTATAAGCTCTATTCTCATACTTTCCAGATTTTGGTTAAAATGTCTTGTACTTTTTCTTCTGTCTATACAATACAGCTTTGGCAGCTCTGCTCCAAGACTGGGAGTCTGAAGCATGCAGCTGCCTGGCCTTCCTTCTTCTGACACATGCTGCTGATGCACATGGCCTGGACCACCCATCTTCTCTGGACATTTAAACAAAAACATAAATTAAGAGGTGTCAGGACATTTGATGGAAGTGTCTTAAGTCAAGTAGGATTTAGACAGAAAAAGCATAGCAAAGTATAATAAATGAAATTTTAAGGAAACTTAGTTGCCTCCTGAGTTACATAGACCATCCAGCAACAGAACAGTAGATGCCAAATGACAAAAGGCAGTGGCCACAAGCTGGAGCATAAGAGGTTCAAGTTAAACAGGAGGAAAAACTTCTTTACTGTGAGAGTAAGAGAGCACTGCAAGAGGCTGCCCAGAGAGGTTGTGGAGTCTCCTCCTCTGGGGACATTCAAAACCCGTCTAGACATGTTCCTGTGTGATCTAGGGTAGATGATCCTGCTCTAGCAGGGGGGTTGGACCAGATGATCTCCAAAGGTCACTTCCAACCCTGACCACTCTATGACTGTCATGCATTAAATTCTCTCTCATAATAATCTAAGGCCCCAGTCTTTCTTCTGGCTGAAATGCATCCTCAAGAATTATCTGTGGCATCAAGTCAGCTAATCAGTCACAGATTTTTTTGTGTGTGATATGTGCCTCTAAGTTTGAGGATAATTTGTGATTCTTGGAAATTCTGCAGTAGCAGCCATAAGGTTGTATAAACAGCTCAACTTGCTTTTTCTTAAGCATTTGTCCTTAATGATGTTCAGGTCCTGAAGGACAGGATGCAACATAAGTATTTACTAATATTTTAATAATAGATTTCTGAAGAGTGAAAAAAAAATACCCAAAAGTGGCATTTTGGCTTCCCACAGTTATCTAGAGTAATTTCTTTGCACTCTTGGTGGGATTCTGAATCTATGGTGACTTGAATCCATAGCTCAGCTCCACACTTTGGTCTTTCCTACATCAGGCCAGTAGGGCTGTGGAAGAACCTTGTAAAGCCTGAGAAAAAGAAATTATCAGGTCTAATGGGTATAACCAGCAACAGAGTGCAAATGAATTAATTGCATTTGATTTCCAAAGCAAAGAATGGGACAAATCATATGCATTTCCAAGGCAGGGAAAATAAAATATTTGAATAGATTAAAGTGGGCTTCAAATTGAGGTGTTAGTACTCCAGTTTGCTCAGGGGAATAAAGAAAGAAAGAATTTGACCTAGAAACTTCATTTTGCATAGAAATAGGAAACGCTGGCACAGAGTCATTACAACGGATGCCATATGTTCTAACACCTTGAGTCCCTATGTAAATCAGTAGGAATTAAAGGTACTTAGCAACGTTGACAATTGTGCTTGGTATTTTTGCAGGACATTTTGTTGCAATGGAAGCCCTTTGTCTAGACTTAGTGCCAAGAAATACTGGCAAACCCATTTCCTAAGTTATGATCTGGTCTAACCACAAATGGTGTTAGCTACAGATATTTCATTTTATGGCATACATTATACACAGCCATACAGGGGATTTCTGCACTGTGATATAAAAATGTCTCTAAAGTTCCTGTAAACTGAGCTGACCCACTTTTGTGTTAGGTCAGGTGTTGGAAACAGTGTATTTCCAGAAGGTTTTTGCTATCTGAAGCTGAACTTTCTTCTGTCACATATGAACTATTATTAGAAAAACCCTACTGCATGATAGGAATTAAATCCTTCACTTCTAGTGTTTGATCCATTAAACTGATGCCTGATTGTGGCTAATCTGTTCAGAAATCTGAGCACTTTAGAGAACAAGCTGAGTCATTTATTACTAAATGACTCAGAAATGGAGGGTGGGAAATACCTCCTAAGGAAGAGCTGTCTGCCAAGATTGGTGTCACTTTGAGGTCAATCTGGTTTGGAGTTTGAAAAGCAAGTGACATCTGTATGTCTGAAACATAAAGATACATTACAGATGCTGACCTTTAAGGTTACAAAGAGATAAGTGAACAGGAACCTCAGAAGAAGTTGTAGCACATGGTTATAGTTAGCGAGAGACATGTTCATAGCAGCCTGCAGCTGAAAGGCAGAGACTTGCAGCTTGTGAATATAAATAATGAAGAATTGTGCTTTGGAATGCCTTAGCCTAGGATTATTTTTGTCTCTAGCAAGAGAAGTCCATCACAGGCTGGTACAGTGGATACTAATTTTCTCATCTACAAAACTCTTTGCAAAATTATAAGTTATGTTGTGCAACTGTTTGCAGGCCTTGTGTAATAAAGTAAATGAAAGACAACCAAAAATGTGTAAATTGCTTGAAAAAACAGCTGTAGGAGAAGAGTAAGAACTTTCTTTTAAACCTTTATTTTTCTAAATGGAAATGGTAATATACTTGCTCGACAAGAGATGCAGGACAGAGTCTTTTCTTCTCCCTTCTGGGGCAACAGAAGATTGATCCAAGATACATGGGGTGATTTCTTTGTGCAAAAGGAGGAATATACTTTTGGAAGCACAGGGAGTGGGTGGTGCTGGTTTGCATGCTGCACAGTGTCTGGTTTGCTAGTTTCCACAAGTTCTAATATCTTTCAAAAAAGTCTGGAGTCTTAGTGTAGAAAATAAAAGTCTCTAGAAATAGTTCAGTATCGTGAATGGGATGGGATGGGATATTGTTTATCAGAAAACACTGCTAAATAAATTAAGACATCTAATAAAACTAGTGATTAATGGCTCCTTTCTATATAAGTTCAAAATAAAAGTAAAATTTTTCATATAGATTAGACTTCCTGTGTAGACCTTGTTTAAAGAGTTTAATTTTTTGAAATTTAGAAGTTTCTTAGTTTTTCTGTGGAATAGACAGTTCCTAATGACATTCCATGTCTTTTACTTTTTTCCTCAAATTTGGAATTAGTAATTAAACACTTCAAAGTAGACCTTGATTTTAATTGGGAAAAAAAACAGTTATTCTGTGATTCAATGTCATTTTAATAATATAAAATTATTATAAATTAACTTTGAAGTCATAACAGCATTAGTTATCACGTATTAAAATATCTTAATATTTTTTAGAATGTCATTGCCAAGTAGATTAAAGTGGTGCCATTTTTAAATCAATAAAAATGTGGGAAGAAATTATGTGTATAAGGTCACCATTATCAGTGTAATTCTTTGCTGTAAGGAATTCAAGTTCTGATATAAACCAATTTGGGGTTTAAGTACATAGTTGGCTTTTTGTCTTAAGTAGGAGTGTTCTGGACAACAAAAATTGGAAATCTGTAGATTTTCAGGAAGCTGTTGAAAGTAATGGTCACCACATAACTGTGTCTGCTGAGAAAAATGCAAATTTCTTTGTTTACTTGAGTAGCAGGATTGGAAATCTCTTTCATTGTTCCATTCTTTGTTTTTATTCAGCCTGTGAGATTTCAGGAATTTGCAAAATCTGAACTCCAGCCCCACTCTTCCAGCATTCTCATTACAGTGTCCACATCTGGATTGCTGACACTATTTACATGTGCTTGTTTTTTTAAGATGACATTTCCTCTCTGTGCCGTGCTGTTTGCAGCCTAATTGTAGATAATTTCTTAACCATATGGAATAAAGTGATAACTGTTTTTCAGCAAAGTTTATTTCATTAATATGAAGCACAGAGATTTTCTGCTGTGGCTATCAAAATACAAAATGAACACTTAATACTCCTTCACATTAGAGTTTAGGATCAGAAGATGGTGTATAAGCAGTAAAAATCACAAAGCATCCTCAGATCACTCCTAAACCAGGAATTTACTGAGTTTTTCATCTCCCTGTTGTCTTCAAGATGAGGGATGTTCATTCACCTATGAGTATGACTGCACTATTTCAAATACTGTCTTGTACCATAGCTGTAGCCATGACGACTTTACTGGTAAGCAAATCAGAAAGGCAGCAATTTTAATATATTATTTGATTGTACGAAATAGTATTTTGCTCTTCCAGCAAGAAAGACCTGAGAAAAGTTATTTCAAACCCAAATTCTGGAGATCTGTAAATGTATTTTGCTCTTTGAGAGTCCTGATCTGTGTCCTGTGTATTTCACACCATGCTACTTTTCTTCAATTTCTTTCTTTCTGAATAGGTAGGAAAATATATCTCTTTGCTTTCTCAAATTATTTCTACAAAGAATTCTTAACTCTTTTATGTACTTCAAGCAAAAATCAGAGGATAAACCATATGCTTTCCACTGAAGAGAATGTCTTAAAAGACACTGCAATTCTTAGAGAAAAGCTTTAATATACAGGAATTGGTTATGATTGACCATCTTAACATATTAAATGTGATAATATATAAATGAATGTGCTGATTATTAAGATTCATTTTTCTGTAACGTTTTAGGGCTTGAGAGCTCTTGCCTGCCATGGAAAAATCAAGGAACTTGCTGTATCAGAATGCAAAAACATCAGTGATTCTGGAATTCAGGTAAAACTTCACCTCTTTTCTTGATGTTTCCTGGTAGCCTCTCTGTTTCTTCTAATTAACCATGTCCTGAACTGATCGTATTTTACTCTGCATTCTTCGTTACACCATTCTACACTCTCAGTCTTACAAATTATTCTCCCCTTCCATAACTTAGCTGTTTTTTTTTTCATCTTGTCTATGAATTTAATGAGTCTTGAATTCTGCCCTCTGCCAGACTCCAAAATTCACTCCACAAGAGCCTTAATTTCTACTGAATTGTACTGTGCAAATTGCAATCTAAATTGCTGGTACTGTTACTTGCTTTCTACAAATCCTTCACCAATTTCTGTCTAAAACATACTTTTCCTCTTGCTAATGTGGGCTTTCAGCTCTTGCTTTCTGCTTCTTTAGTCAGTCATTTGTTGAATTGCTGTATTTTGATGACTTAGCATGCCCTAGCTCAAAGGCATAGTTGAATTTCATTAGTTAGATCTGGTTCCTCATGGGCTGCTGATATATGGTTACACATCATTAGCTCTTAAGAGACACACAAATATTGCTCAGTATACCTCTAAAGGCATGTTTCTTACCAGCATAAATTTTATTATTACTATTATTAAAAAAAAAAAAAAAAGTTTCAATAAGAAATGCATATGGAAATTTTCCAGACTTAATAGTTGTCTTAGCTGCTTTCTGGGAAAAATAGCTCAAATTGAACTGTGTCAATATTTAAATAAAGCCTTTAAAGATATCCTGTGAAAGCATTAAAGACATAGTCAATTCAGTTCTATTGATGAAACTTATCTGCTAGAAAATAGACATTTTAAGCTACATCTGTGGAATACGGACTTCTTATTCTAAAGATCATGTCATGCTCACAGCAAGACACTTGTTGAATCTCACTAAACTTAGGGTTTTTTCCAATGTTTTTATTTTTAAAATAATTATTATATACAGTGGGTTTGAAATTTGAATATGGGATCTGGGCAATATAAAGCTATATATTGTTCTTAAAACAAGAAGGTTACATATATTGTTTAGTGTTCTGATCTCAAACCTAGCTTATGAACTTAGAAATTTCCGAGGGCAAATACTCTTTATGAAGTAAACAGGCAGGAAATTACCTAATTTGTAGAAATGCAACTTGATTGAAAGACAAAGTTATTTATATTGATGGCAAGTTTTGAAGTTACATAGTGAGAAAACACTTTCTCTTTTGAAAAATCAGCAATTATCATAGAAACATGAATACTAACACAGTATTTCAATTTCATGTTACAATGCTTATAATTTTAAAAATGTATTTCTGATTTATATTTCTGATTTATATTTCTTTTTTTTAAGTGAATGTCAACAATGAGACTTTCCATCCAAATATTTACTAGGCTTACACTATCATCAGAGCAGTAACTACATACTCAGTTCTGATTTATTGGTACTCGTCTTATTTTGGTAAAATCAATTATTCAGTGTTAGTGTAATTCTTTTTATGGGTAAAGCAGTGTACTGGAAACTGGAAAAGATTCAGAGAGAGTAATGGGGATGATCAGGGTATGATACAGTCTCCATAAAAGGAACAGATAAATAAGCAAATAACCTCTGGTCTGGAAAGGGGCTGGCTGAGGGAACACGACTGAGCTCTGTTCAATCACAAGTGGCATGAAAAGGGTGGATAGGGATCAACTTTTTGCTGATTGCTTCCATACATAATCTAGGTGGGCATGAAATGGACCTAGTTTGAAAGTTCTGAATGAAGAAAAGGCCATTACTGTTTCCAAAATTAAATTCCTTTATCACTGGTTGCTTGAAGTTTACCTAAATCCTTATGGAGGTTTGACAAATCCAATAGGATTGTATTGATTTACTGCTTTGTGTTTCAGATTGTTATAAGGTGACTTCACTGTAGAAAAAAGAACCATCCATCTTGTTATAAAGGAGAGAGGACTTACATCCAAATAAGACCATTTTTTTCTGTAACTGAAAATTCTTCCTAACCATATATAACAGAAAAGCTTAAATCGTGTTTTTTAATGATATAAATTTCATGCCCATAAAGAGTTGCAGAACTTAAGGCTGCAGGTACAGGCAATGCCATCACGTAATCCCTGTCGTCAGCTTCTACATTTTTCCTTTATTAAGCTCCAACATCCATCATTTTATAGCCATATATTGTGAGAATAAGTCAGTTGTTGCTGCATGCATCTGGATTGGATCTCGTTACCCAACATAACACGTCAGGCCATTGGGATTTGCTTCTTTAGGAGCAATTCTGAATTGCTGTGCATGAATGTTCTGCATGAAGTTCCACGTTTTTTACAAAAACAGTGACCAAGTATGTACATCTTGTGTATCCCATGGAAAGTCAGCGTAGTGCCAGTGCTGCTGCTTTCACACGAGACTCTTCACTTCTACATTGTGCTCTGCTTATAGCTAAGAAGCTGTTTCAGTGTTGCACTGTATAAAGTAAATTCCAAAAAAGAATAGGAAAAAAAGACGTGCTTACACTTTCCTTTGTCTGCCATATGATTTTGAATATTTTAAGAAGGAAAGCATCAGCAATAAGTACATGTAGGAGTTAGAGAAGCAATGTGGTCATGGATTTAGGGAGGGCAGGAGAGGACAAAGAGGAAAGGAAGTAACAAGAAATGAAACAGCAAGTCTTTTTTTGTAAGTTGAATCTTTTTGTATTATGGAAAATTTGTAAAGAATAACCCCATTGTATGCTGCACATCTGGATTATCCTTTGATTAGATAAAGAATATTTAAATCACGTGAAAAGAAAATGCATAGTAAGAGGGCCTTACTGATATTATTAAGGTAAACTGCTGAAAGTTATAAAATGCCAAAAATAATGTTGGCTGTAAAGTCTTAATTTATTTATCTGTTCCCAGGCATGATAACAGTATGTAAATGCTTATGTGATCATATATTTTAGAAATATGATCTTTGCTCATTCATAACTCAGATGATGTTTACTTAATGAGCAGCAATTCAGTATTTTGTATTTTCATTGATGCTTGTGTGTCTCCTTAGGTCTTATTTACACAGAATTCAAACTATGCAAATAAGTTTGAAAATTATGTTATTTCCTTCAGGTGGTTTTCTGTTCTTTGTAGTGTCTAAATGTTTTGCAAACTTTATCTTCACAATCTTTTAGGTTATTTTTTATACAGGCATAGAACCAGGGACACAGAAATGAGGAGAACAAAGCTCAATTCCCTCTGATTGCAAAAAGAGGTTTAGTGCTATTTGCAAAATACTGTAGGGATGGAGGTAAAGGTTAGAGCAAATTCAGAACCTAACTCTGAAGGATATTTTATATACGTATGTAGACAAACTATGCCAGTAAAAACAAGATAAACATATCTCACAGGCATTGAAACCTTGGCTTCAGCTTGTGCTACATACCCTAGCTGAGAATGCAGTGATTAAGTCATCACATCTGAAGCCTAATTCTGAAGGGACTACATTTTCTCTTACACATGGATAAAAATATTCAGTTCTTTGGCTTAGAATGTTTCTGTATTGCAGGTAACAAAGAGCATGTAAAGCTGATTGAAATAGGAAAGGTACAGAAGCCAATTGTAAATTCTGAATTGTCCTTTCTAACCAGCCCTTAGTTAAAACATTCACATTCTAATATTTTTTTTGTAAAATAAAACAAGAAGCCAAAGCCCAAGAAGCCCTGCCTTGCTACAGCTATACTGGTAGATGGAAAAAAGTGTCAGTGAGGATACAGGCAAAAAGTTCTAAAATTCTGGTTTATGAAACAAGTTTCAGACTTAGTAAGTTTCTCTGCATCTTTTTAGGTGATACTTATGAGAATCACACAGAATCATATGATTTCTTGGTCATAACAAAGCTAATATTTTTCCAGTGATCAACCTGAGTGCCTGAGTTGCTGTTTATGTAAGGAAAGAAATAGCAATGCCAAAGGCAATAGTCTGATTACTGCAGTGGGTTTGTTGTTTTTTCTTCAGAATATAAATATATAATATTTGTGCATGATAAATATGTACATTTACACTTACACTTACACACATGTGTCTCTGTGTGTATGCACATGAGTTATTTATCCATGTAGCCCTTAGTCTGTTGAGGACTAATACTTGAATGTTTTGAAATGCTTTGTGCAACCAGTGTTTTTTATTCAATCTACTACATAAGTATTTCCTTTTTTACCCTGTAGAGGTAGAATTTCTATTCCAGTAAATGACAAATTGCACTGGCTTGAGGTCAAGATTAGCAGGCCTGAATGACCAGCTCAGTAACATGCTTAAGGCATCTCACCACAGTTCTAGGCTGGACATCAGAGAAGAGGAGGGTTCTCACTGGAGCTAAACCTTTGCTTGAGCCACAGAACATTTTGCGACACTCACAAATCGTGGCAGTGATGAAGGGCCTGAAGTGGATCAAAGGACTGATGTAAACATATCGTAAATTGAGAAAAACAGAGTAGGCACATTACTTAAGAATGACTGGTGTGTTTTTGTTCTCTTTCAGGATTTCTGTGAGGGCACAAGATACCTGGAATGCTGCCATATCAGCAGCTGCCCTCAGCTGTCGGATGATGCTGTGAAAGCAATGGCATTTCACTGCCAGAGACTGACAGCTGTCAGCATAGCAGGTTGTCCAGAGGTATGGATAGGGCAATTGCTCTGGGGTTGCTGTTCCAAAGAAGTACTTAGTGTTTCATTCAGAAATTTGACCTGCTTGCATCTGTGTCTTCTCACAATCCTACAATGTGCTCCACTAATTCAGAAATCAGAGCTGAAGTTGTGCTGACTTGATGTGAGTTTAAATTCTGGGACTTGGCCCTTGGGAGTGTTGGGTGTTCTTCTAATGGTTGCAGTTACAACATGAAGGTGTCTGTGCTGTTATCAGGTAAAAGTTTGTCTCTCCGTGGGCTGGTGTCTAAGGAAGAATGAAGATACTTCCTGCAAATACTCTTCTGAGCTTCTGATGTTTTGGGGGCTTCCAAAGGGCAGTGTCTTTGTTTAAATAACTGTTAGCATTTTCATGCTTTATTTTTCCCCAGGTAAGACTTAAACTGGGGCGTGAGAACTTTATATCTGAGGCTTTAAATGACAGGGCAGTGGCTAAAAGCTGATGCACTCAGAGATATAAATTCATGCTGAATTATTTTGAAGATTCTAAGCCCAAGAAAAAAAAAGTCCTTATTAATTTAAAATTTATGAGGTATTTGGCTAGCTTATACCTATGGAAAGAGGTCTTCCTTAGGCTGGAAAAGTTTATTGTTACTTCCATCACTATCAAGTGGGAATACACAAAGTTTATACTACTTTTGGAATAGTTAATCTTGAACTATCCTTTAAAATGTCATTGTACTCACTGGACCAGTTTCCCCTTTTTCCTACTGCAGTACCCACATGCAGTTTCCTTCCACAACCTTCACTTTGTCCCTGCCTTTCTTCTCTCCAACAGCCATCTCCATAACCCTTGACTGTCCTTTCAGCCCTTATATTCTCTTACTCACTGCAGTGGCTGAGCACCTTAGCCTCCTGGACAACTAGTTTGAGCTGTCCTGCCTGACTAGTTAGCCAGCCCTAAATTATTCTTATTCTGATCAGTTTGTTAGCCTTCCAAAAGTTCTAAAGTTTCTCAGCCTCTAGGCCAAAACCTCCAGGCAGGTCAAGGAAGTTGCTCTGTGTCTTAGAATAGCTCTTGGTTTTTATCTTATGGAAACTTACTGTACACTATGAATTATTATAAAGGTGAGTCTCTGCTTTTAGATAGATAGTAAGCTATTTTTCCATAATAACAGTAATAATAGAAGTTGTGGGTGGAGATCTTCACAAAGTAGTTGAAGCTTGGTAGTTTTGCAGGCAGTCTTCTCTGCCATGCTTTCCACTACACTTTATAAACTAACAGGAAAAAAACAGCAACCCCAACGCTTATAAAATGGCAGTAGATACATTTAGTCTAGAAAATGGGAGAGTTTCTGATTATCAGAGCAGTGAATTGTAAAACAGAATCCTGGGAAGGGAGATAGGGCTAAGAATTAAGGAATGTTAGGATGGCACTTGGTAAGGGAATTAACTGGGTAATAGTTTGTAGTTCCTGCAAATTGGAACAAGAAGTAGACTCAGTGACGTTGTAACCCCCTTCCAATGCTTTGTTCCTAGATGGTATCTTTTCTTTAAATGGTTATAAAGCCAATCTATTAACTGCTAATACCCTGTTATTTTCAGAAAAGAACATCAAGACTCTTTCACATAAACCTACGCATAAGTTTACAAGTCCTTTTTTGACTTTAATCCAGCTTGCAACTCCATAAAATGAGATGGGTACACCTGTGAATGTTGAAGTTAATGGGCGTTTCAAATCCTTTGGCAATCTCTCGTGTAAATTGAGGGAATCCAGCTGCTAAGTAAGGAAATATTTTCCACTCAGAGATTGTTTAAAAATTGTCAGGAGATTAAAGTAAGAATAAAACCTGTTCCAAAGGATATGGGTTTATATGCCCAACAGTCATGTCCTGCAACATCAGCTATATTACATAGATATATATCTCTCTGTGTGTGTATATAAATTTTAAAAAAATCACAGCAAGAGAACATAGAAAAAATCAATATAGAAATGCATGTCCATTGAGAATGTTTTGGCTTGTGCTATGAAGGTTACTCGAAGATTAGAGGAGCTTACCACTTTAATCATGTCTACTGGGGCAAATCATTTGTCTTTGAACAAATTTCAGTGGCTTCAACAGAAGTGCAGTGAGCCTCTCTGTCACATTGCTGTGCACCTACAACAGGTACAAGTCATTTTGCAAATGCTGATACTATAAAATACTCGGCAGTTCAGTTCCTGGTCTTACTCAAGGAATGAGCATGATTCAACAGCAATTCTGATTTCATAGGAAAAATATGAAGTTGCTGTGGGAAACATATCATACACATGAAAAAATATAGCAAGAACTGAAAATAAATCTCTGGTTAGATTAATATTTAAATAGCAAAGTTCTGAAGACACAGTCGATGGATAATTAATTCTGTAATATGCTCCTCTAAAGGGAACAGGATTTGAGTGCATGATGAATATAGAGTTCTCTTAAATGCATCTGATACCACTTACTGAGTTTGGTCAGCAACTGTGGTTTATTTCAAAAGGAATAGTATTGTATTTATTAAAAATTTAATCTACTTATGATTCTATTACAGTTCTGATATTGAGCATATAGCTAAGTCTGGAATAAGCAAAGCACAGAATTACCTCTATATTCCAGGAGGTCTGTGTCACAAGATAGTGTGCTAATTTTATGTTCCACAACCCAAGGTCTCAGCTTCATCTTGCCTCCTTGTCCCTTTTAGATTCTCAAGAGATTGGCTGTTTAATGCAAGTGAAGCCCTCATCTCTCTTCCCAGCATCCCACTCCAGTGATTTAATCAAGTATCTTTAAAAGGTCTTTAGTATGTCCCTCTTGATTTTAGGTCCTGTCAGAACAAGGTAGTTAGAGGTTGTGCATAACGTATTCTGGACTGTTCCCACTGAGGTCAGTGGAGCCATTAAGCAGCTTGTATGTCTGCTTTTGTACCTTGAAGACTCTGTGTCTTGTTTTTTCTCAAATGCAAGTTCCAGCATTAATAGCAACGAATATCAGTTTAGAAAAATGGAATTGTGTGGTGAAACTGAACTTCAGAACTAAAGAAACCAACTATACATTAAAAACGTCTTGGTGTAACAGAGATCTGAGATACAAAACTGATGTAACAAAACTCCAAGCGCAGCCTAATAGTTTAAGAGAGAACAATGTAATAGCAGGTAAGGCTAAAGGCTTCTATGTGCTAGATGTGAAATTATGAGGTTGGGAAAGTTCAAACATTTTGATTAGGTGAAAAAATATCCCACAACACTTTAGACTGTACTGGAATCACAATTTACTAATACCTTGATATTTAAGTGACTGTTCCTGTACAGCCTCTTGCAGATATCCAGAATTCTGCTGTGCTAGAAACTTTACTTCCATGAAGCATTTTATAACATAGTTTTCCCACAAAACAAATGCTAAAATTGTGCTCTATGGTTTTTTTTCTTTCAACTATTCATCTAACTTCTGTGTGTCTTCTTGCTTCATTTACAGATGACTGATACCTGCATCCAATACTTGGCTGCATCCTGCCGTTATCTCTGCTTCTTGGATGTCTCGGGTTGCATTCATCTTACTGACAAAGCACTGAAGTATCTTTGGGAAAGCTGCAAGCAACTCAAGGTTCTCAAGATGCTGTACTGCAGAAATATTACCAAGTAAGAGGATATTTCCTTGTCTTGATTCAGAGCTGGTTGTAAACCCAAAAAAGGTTTTTTTGAATGAAGGTTTTTTTTTCTTCATTGGCATCCTGGTGCCATGGTACGTGTCTGGCTTGAGCCATCTTGCTCCATTCTCTAGGGGCTGTGCACACTGCTGCCTTAGGACTCCTGTAGCCTCCTGTGGGTATCTACACCTTCCTGGTTCCCCACAGTATTTAAAAAACAAACAGTTCTGGTCAGGTTTAGAATAACAGAATCATGCAATCATAGAACATCTTAAGTTGGAAGGCACCCATAAGGATCATCAAGTCCAACTCCCTGTTCCTTGCAAGACAACCTAAAACTAAACCATATGACTGAGAGCATCGTTGAGACACTCCTTAAACTCTGGAAGGTTTGGTGCTGTGACTACTTCCTTGAGGAGCCTGTTCCAGCAGCCAAACAGCCTTTCAGTGAAGATAATTTTCTTAGTGTGCAATGTAACCTTCCCCTGATGCAGCTTCATTCTATTCCCCTGTGTCCTATCTCTGGTCACCAGAGAGGGGAGATCAGCACCTCCTCTTCTGCTGTTCCTTTTTGAGGAAGCTGTACACTGTGATGAGGTCACCCCTCAGCCTTCTTTCTCTAATCTGAACAAACCAAGTGACTTCAGCTGCTCCTTGTAAGTCTTGCCCTTGAGACCTTATATTGAGCTGTCTGAAACTGCACACCGTACTAGAGGTGCAGTGCTCAACTTGCCATCAACTCAAACCCCCAGATCTCTTTCTGAAGGGCTGCTCTCCAGCCTCTATTCCCCCAGTTTGTATATATAACCAGGATTACTCTTCCCAGGTGGAGAATCCAGCATTTGCTTTTGTTGAATTTCGCAGGTGGTGATTGTTCAGCTCCCTAGTCTATCTAGATCTCTCTGTAATGCCTCTCTACCCTCAGGGAGTCCACAGCTCCTCCTAGTTTAGTATCATTGGCAAACTTAACGTACATTTGATTCCTGCATCCAGATAATTTATAAAAACATTAAAGGGTGCTGGGCCTAAAAGTGAGCCCTGGGGAACCCTACTGATGACTGGCTGCACACCTGATGTTACCCTATTTACTGTAACCCTTTGAGCCTGACCCATCAGCCAGTTGCTCATTGAACATATTATGGACTTGTCTAGCTGTAGACAGTTTATCCAGAAGGATACTGTGAGAGACAGTATAAAGCACTTTGATAAAATAAAAAAATCCCACATCTACTGGCTTCCCTGGGCCAACTAGATGGGTAACCTTGTCATAAAAGGAAATTAAGTTGGTTAAGCAGGAATTTCCCCTTGTGAACTCATATGACCAATGACTGTGTTGTCTCAAGTGTTTTTCAATAACTCCCAGAATAACCTTCTCCATAATTTTACCAGGCACTGAAGTGAGACTCACAGGCCTGTAATTACCAGTGTCTTCCTTCTTGCTTTTCTTGAAAATTGGAGAGCTGAGTTTAAAGCTGAGTTTTCAGCTGCAAGTCTCAAAGGTGTGGCTTTAGTGTCCATCACCCTTCCATGGGAGTTCAGAGCCCCACAGACCAGGTGCTGTACACCTAGAACGTGGCCAGATGTGCCAAAGGGACTGAACTAAAGAAAAGGAAAAGAACTAAAGTATAAGCATGGTTGATGTACCTGACTGTATAACTTATTCAAACTTTATGAGAATAAGAGATACATAATACTATCTTATACAGAGGGTGTCCATACTAGGGGAGCTCTAACTCCACTCTAACAGGACCACTACACATAGTGCACTCCCTGCCAGACCGTTCCAGGGTTTAACAGTCACTTTTAATAGTCACTTTATATACTACAAGATTAATGCAGATATTTAATAACTTAAGAGATATTTCCTGTGTGGTTCATGCTTTCCAAACCCTCTTTGGTTTATTTCCCTCTGTCTCACCACTGACAATTCAGCTGTCATTACTTTTATTTTCTTTACTTCTCTCTGACTGAGTTTTTTTAATGTCATCTCAGAACTTCCTCCTTAAAACCTCTACTTCTAATTAAATACTTGTTAGATAAAGAAAGTGTTCTGAGGGATTGTTATGCAAGAGTAGTAATTGAAAAAAATATTGTAATTCAACTGCACTGTTAATTCTGAGAAAATATATTTCAAATACATTTCATCTCCTCATAACTTTCTGCTTTACAGTTTTTCTCATATTAAGTCTCAGTGGGCTTTCTTTGACCCCTGGATTACTGTTGTTGACTTGCTTTTTCTGTGACTTCACCTCTCTCTTTAGGGCAGTAAACAGTGCATCATCCTGGCATGGTCTCATTGCTTGTACATCTTCCCCTGGAAGTGTGTTGTAGTAGGGAGAGAAATTTGTGCAAGTTTCATTTCTTCTGGGTGAGCCATGATCAAAGAACTGATGCAACTTCTCAGAAGACTGTTTGCATTATTGTAGCCTTTGCAGGATGACCCAGGATTATGCCTCTGCCTCAGAGTCCCATATGCTATGGGTTCTCCAAATGTCTTGATTAAACTTTTCTGACTCAGCCAAGGAATTTCCCAACCAGTTACTTTTACTGTAAAGAAAGCCCTGGAGAGTTATAGATCCTTACAAAACAAAAAGCAACCACGAGACACACATCTCCACCCAGTGTTCTCTTTGCCCTTCTTGTGATTTTTTAGAGCTGGGCAAACTTTGCCAATTTTATTTTCTTGAGCCTGATTTTCTGGTATGCAATGGTGGATGGTTTTTTTCTTTGCCAGCCCCAATCTCTAACCCTTTGCATCCTGTGTTCAATGAAGGAAACTCCAAACCCACAAAAACTGTTGGGTGGATCAATCATGTAGAATAATTCAGCACTGAAGATTTTGTTGCTTGTCCTTTCCAGTGGGTCTGAAGAGCCTCCCGAGACTTAGGCAGGCTGCAGACTAGAATGACCACATCAAGATCAGGGTGGCTTTTCAATGCAGACTCTAAAATCATTATTAGATGTGAAGATAATCAGGAATCAATGAGTTCACAGCTAGATTCAGAAATATTCCACAGCCTGTATGTGTCAGGCTTTCAAAAAATCTTTTTTATTGTAGTTGAAGGCCAATATTGCAAAGATTATAAAAACTACTTGTTTTCTGCCAATAACTACATGAAAAGCACAGTAAAATATGGCAGTGATGCTACAGTGTTAGTCAGCTTTTAGCAGGTTTTCAGTAATGACATTAGAAGTGATGACAGTACTGTCACTTATATATCACAATATATTCTTACAGAACTATGTATTTCATTCACAACCTGTATGTTTTTAGTAATCAATAATAAGCAAGATAGTCAGAAAAGTGACCAACAGGGCCTCATTCTCTGTTTTCAGACTAAATCTTAAAATCTTATTTGGGTTCTTAGATTTTCATAGAATGTAGAGGAAAAGGCTGTTTTGGGGTATAATTAACATGCTGCATGTGTGACGTACATTTCAGAGACATTTGTGTGACGTACATTTCAGAGACATTTTATTCCCTGTTTGAGGAGATGGAAGAGGACATCTATGCAAAAATAAAATTAATGTGGAGAACAAAACATGCTACTGGCTTAAGTTCTAAATAAGCAATAGAAGACATTCATTTTTAGTTTAAAGTTGCCCTACAAAATCTATAAATCATGTATACTTCATTTTGCCAAAGGAATTCCCCATTATTTATTGTTAAACACCAATCAATCCTAGCAGACCTCTCTGAATAGCCTGAGCCTTGCTAATATTGAAGCATATCTCTTGTATTGTGTCACATTCTTTTTCAAATTATGATTTTTACTGCTTCGTTAGATTAAAATAGAAACCATATGGAGCCACAAAGTTCTTCAAGCTTCAGTCCCATGCAGCTTCATAGGAAACAGTTACAAGCATGTAAATTGTCCATTCTTTCCAGTATCAGGTAACATTTGAGATTACACTTGCCAACATACTAGCCTGGTTACAGGTTTATTAAATGTTAGAAGAGAGAAAAAATTCTATGGCCTGATATCCTGCTGCATATTTCTGTATCTAGAGGCTAATGACCTTTCAATTCATCCTGTTTCTAAATGCCATAAAGAATCATGGATAATCTGCCTGCTGGAGTATAAGATACTGCTACAATTGCTTTCTTCTACTAGAGAAGCAAGCTAACTAACTGCTTTGTAAAATGTGGCTTCAGTAAGAAATGGTTGTATTGGTTTGATTCACTTAGGACTAATCCTAGAAGAAATACACACTGGGTAGCACACTGGCATCTTTAGAGAAACACTTCTCTTCCCTGGAAAACATTCTCCTTAAAGTTCAAAGCACAGATACCATTTAATTTCAGCTGCAGTGCTGAGCAAGGTGTTGTGCTCTATCAGCATTTCTGGGAGCAGAGTGAGAGAGGAACTCTGCCAGTGCCTTGAGAAGCCTTCTCCAGCCAGCCTCATGCTCTCACCAAACTGCATCTCATCTGTGACAGTTTGGTTCCACCAAAAGCTGCTCTTTGAGAGCAAAATTCAATGCTTCCTTCTTTTCTATTTGCACTAATATGAAAGCAGTTATGTTTATTTTAAGCTTATGACTACTCTGTGAACAAGTGAGTTGTCAACGAACACTGTTACAATTTTTGCTTTTTAAATGGAAATTACATTGTGTCTTAATAGCTACAAAACATTTGACATTTGGAGAATATTATGACTTTTGTTTTGGGGGTTTTTTTTGTGTTGTGTTTTCTGATGGTTGCTGTTGGTCAGAAAGGGATTTGCAAGAACTCTGTTTTCTTGAAAAAGCAAAATGTTTAGGTATTATTCAAATGTTAGATCTCTAGGCAGGAAGGATTTGGGAATCCACACAAATGTAATTGGAAAAGAAGACAGTCTGCACATGATTTGGCAACAGATCAAGAATAATCACTCAAGTATTCTCTTGAAGAAGCATCAAAATACTATAGTACTGTCTTCTCATTGACTGTGAATCCCTCTTCAGGATTACATGGAGGCTCCCACGTTTCATGCCTTGTTTCAGCCACCATGTGCACCTGAGCTGGATGCCATAAAAAGATTCAGCTACTGCAGCTGCCATGGACTTCAGAATACTTCAGATTCTATCTAGTCTTCTCACTTGTGGTTACCCTGAGAGTGCTTGCAGGATGCTTTCTGCTTTTCCCATTAGCTGCCTGCCTTCACTTGCCTCTTCAGCTTAATTTCTCCTACATTCACACTATGAACAGTTCTCCCATGATTTTATTTTCCATTACTTTTTACTCATGATTGTTTTTTTTTAACCTCATATCAAAAAAACCTCTGGTTTTTATTATGATGGACCAAATCAAACATTTCTGAATTTTGGAATGGTTCAGCATTCAGGCCATGATGCAGGATTATTCATATCTCCTCGTAGCAAAAGGGACTAAAACTTAGGGTAAGGATTCAATTATATATTCCAGTGCTGCTTGAGCCATGTGTTTGGGCCAGTTCTTTTGTCCGACTTAGACCAAGACATATTTGCTTTGCCAAAGATAACTGTAGTAATCTGCTGAAATGCTTTTATTCATCAATGTCATCATTTAAGACACTATGTAAATAAATAAAGGCAGTCTGTCATAGTACAGTATCTTAAATAAATGATTTATTTTGCCATGTGTTGATGATTAATGAATGGCTGTTTCTGGCAAACTAATCAACTGTAGCTTCAGGCATGGGACAGCATAAGCTTCCAAAGAAATAGTAACAGCTCCCCTTATACATGCTTCAGACAGCCACCATACATTGCATTTTCCATGAAAAACAGGAATTTGGACTTGGATGAGTTGATTTTTATTTTATAGCTTACAGCTCATATAAATTGTGCACACATTCCTCAATGGCACAGGCCTCCCTAAAAACAGATACAGCTTTGTGTTCATGTGGTTCACACAGTGTGTCAGTGTTAGATTTTTAAATATATATATATATACATCCTGCAGGGGTTGAAAAAAAGCCCTCCTCACCTCACTAATTTTGTCCCTTTTGCACCCCTCCCCACTTCCCCCTTCCTGCTGTGGTGGTGCAAGCATTGCAGCTGTGCACAGCTGCCTCTTCTGGAACCATCTTCAGCATTTTCACTATGGGAAAAACACCCCCAACATGATGAATGCTGCAGTAGCATTGCTGGCAGATGACAGACCGCTTTAATTTTGATTTTTTTCTATTATTGTTTAGATGCTGTATGTTATGTTCTGTTACAGAGCTTAGGAAACTGCCCAACAGGGAGAGACATACCAGCAAAAGGTTGACTCTCCTGAAAAGGATGGGAGCTGTACCAAGCTGCTGCCTCCTCCCCAAGGAGCACAGGAGAATTCCTGGCCCAGGGGAGCTTCCAGAGGCACAGGAGGCAGCCTGGGGAGGCTGGGGCAGACAGGGCTCTGTGCACTGGGGAGAAGGTGGCAGCCAAGGCCCAGGGGTAAGGGAGAGAAAGAGACATTCAAAGGACTGAAAGTGGCAGGTTGAGCTTCTTCAGCACAGGAAGGCAAGGAAAGTTGCTGGACTGATACTGCCTGGAAAGGACAGAATTGATCTTCAGCTTCTTCTTTAGGGTGTCTCACTCAGTAGGCCTGATTTTCTCCCCTTCCTGTGTAATTTTGCTCTGGTTCATTGTTTCTGTGTTCTAGTGCTGCAAAGGGGCAATGGCCACAAAAGGCCGAGAGCTCAGAGGGGCCAGGGGTGTTTTTGGACATCCTGGTTCAGCTACCATGGAGCTGCAAAGCACAGCCTTGGCTGAGCACAGGGCCAGGGCAGGTAACAGTACAGCTCTGTAACACTGCCCATTGGGCATGCAGTTCAGGGACAACACATTCTGAAAAGAGGTGGGTAACAGAAGATTAACTACAAGTGGAGAGATTAGCCAAAAAGAAAGCAGGTGAACCAGGAAAGGGTAAAATACTTGGAGGTGCCACAGAGACTCCAAAAAAAAAAAAAAAAAAAGGAAAAAAAAATACAGTTACTACATCTCCTCTGAATAGCTATGAAAATCCACTCTGGAGACACTGTGATATCTTTTGATGTAATTGGTTTATTTATCTTGTTTGGTGTAATGTTTTCTTCACAGCACAATGTTATTATTCCCATGGCATTGACTGCTCAGTCCCAAAGATCAATGTTTTAGGCTCCCCAGTCCAGACAGACATGGACACACTAGAGCGAGTGCAGATGAGGGTGACTGAGACTGGAGCTGTGCTGGAGCACAGAAATATAAACCCAGGCAGAAAGAATTGCTTTGCTCAGTCACAAGAAGTAAAGGCTCAGGTTGGGGGAGACCTTATTGCCCTCTGTAACTCTCATTAGAGGACACAGAAGAGAAGATATGGCCAGACTTTTCTCAAAGGTGCACTAAGACAAGCAGCATATGTAAAGTTTTGATTACATGCAAGGAAACTAATTTTTTAATCAGGAATCTGGTCAAACACTTGAACAGGGTCCTAGAAGGGCTGTGCAATCTTCATTCCTAGAGAGATTTAGAACTCAGCTGGCAAAGCCATGACCTACCTGGTCTAGTTGGATCCATTTAGAGCAAGAACAGGATTAAATGATCTCCAGAGGCCCCTTCCAAGCTAATATATTCTGTGACTCTATGGCCTAACCAATTAATTATCTTCTTTCTTAATTTCCACACCACTTCTTGTAATGTCAATAGCTTCAGCTAAAACTAGGAACTTGTGCTCATTAAACAGCTTTTAATGTTCTTTGTAGAAACAGCCTCTGCTATTTTTTTTTCTTCTGTAATTTTTAATTTTTTTTTAATTCTTGTTGCAGACAAGCTGTCTTGAAATACACAGCCAAACTGGAGAAACATGAACATAGTAATACTGACCCTCCTTCCTGGTTTGGATATGACCGGGATGGCAACATACTTACTGACACCTAAAAACAAACATGGGAGCCTGAATATACACATTCTTCAGAATGAAAGATGAAGAAACTGCACAACAACTTCCACAGTTCAAAGGTTTTTCACTGGAGCATGAAAAGAGCACTATGTTATTTTTCTTAAAACTAATCATACTTTAATAAAAGGCCATTTGTTTGGGTTACTAAGTAAGCACTGCAAATCTCACTCCCAGGAGTGCATGTGCCTTCAAGGAAGACAGGAGCAGTGAAACAACGTTGCTAACTTTCAGATGTTCATTCAAGCTGACTTAGTCATCAATAATGAGACGTTTTTGTAGTCCCATGCAGAGACAGCAATAAATAAATCTGTGTGTGTTTGGGGTTCTTGTTTGCCATTAAGGTCCTCTGCAGGACATAAACACTCTGGCTTCCCACTGAACTTCACACTTGTCGTGGCTGGTACTCATCAGTGCAGTGTTCTTGAGCAATGAGGAGCAGTGGGTAGGTAGTCACTACAGATTCCTCCGTACACACATACACGTGCACATCTAAGCGCACTTCTCTACTTGCGTGCCCAGAGCCCTCATTCTCATAAAAGCCTTTCAGGCTGAGTTCAACTCTCTAAGCAAGCTGATGCTTACATTTGCAGATCTGAACTGCTGGCTGGCTGGCAGCTGACAGAGTCTGGAGAATCAAATGAGAAGGAGAACAGATGAGAAAAGTGTTAAAGGATGAATTTTCTCTAGTTATGAGAGTGTGTCTTCTCATCAAATGGACAGAAAAAAAATGAGCACACATGGCGTTACCATTCAAATCCCAATTACTGGCTACCCACTAATCTTTCTTGTCTAGAGAAAAATATAAAGTTTCACTTCATTATAGCAGAACAAGACATTATTCAAAGGCCTTTGGGGAAACTCCTAAAGATTTCTTTCTTCAGCTCATTTTTGACCTTTACGTTAAAGTTCTAGCTGGTCTCAACATTTATTAGCTTGGAAAGAATATAATCAGAGTGGCTGGAGCTCAGTTTTTCTAATGGCTTATTTAAACTTCTTTAAGCAAGTAACTAGCAATCCTAATGATTAATTCCAGCTATTTTAGAATATGAAAGCCTTAGCTTGCTTTCCTCTGAACATGAAAGAAATAACATGTTTTCTCACTATGTTCTCCCTTAAACTACTCATGCAGCAGTCCCAAAAAGCACAACCTTAATCACAGAGGCAGAGAGGCTTCTTATTCGAGGTGACAAACAAAACCACTAAATAGGCTCGATTTTGTGGAATATCTACTACACTGTTTTTGTTTTTCAGTGTAGCTTGAATTCAGAGGTGCTTCCTATCATAAATAACTAATTTCAAAGATTTTTCAGGAAATCTAAAACCACTACTGATTTATTATATTTTGTATCATAAAAAATATAAAAAGGATTACCACCAACTAGTAGTATTTATTAGATTGCTTTTAATAATGATATTAGCCATGTTTTAAATATTAGTGTTTTATTAAAAATACATAATTTGCCACACCCATCAGACTCTAATCTAAAGTCTAGTTGGTGGAGTGTTCCTCCACAAAAACAGCCAGACCCATTGCACTGTTGGGTATTTATTTGAAAAGGTTTTTTTTGCAGATGAGCAGTGGAAGATACAGCTAGATTTCCGATTCTTATCCTTAAAAAGTGGTTTGGAATGACATGGAGCAAGTCCTGTTGTTTCACACAAGTAGTTTTACACATACAGCACCCACTGACAAGGCAGAAACCTTTTAGAGGTCAAACACTAAACAAGAACTACAATAAGAACTACAGTTCTTCTTGTTTAACAACAACAACATGGTTTAGGGGAGAATTTTATAGAGTAGGGATGATGGTTTGACTTGGTGATCTCAAGGGTCTTTTCCAACCTGAATAGTTCTATGATTTAGTTCTGAAAGTGGTTTTATCCTATCAATAATGCAAATAATTTGAACAAAGAAAATTCTCTGCATTTTGCATAAACTAGTAGAATTAACACAGCACTGAGACGTTTAAAAATATAAAATAGCTTGCAGAGCATGTATTCTTAGAACTAAATGTTGATATTATCAAACACTAGATGTTGACAATACTTCTCATTTTTAAATTATGACTCCAAACCTCTATTTGAAAATTGCCACCTTTTAAACTGACATGGTAAGTGGGCCAAGTTATACAAATTCAGAGTATGTAAGATCTTGTCATTCCTAAAAGGCACTAAAAATAAACCAGACATGTTAAACACTAGACACTGTGATAGGCAAATCTTCTGTTAAAACACCCTCATTTTTAATATAGTTTCTCTCTTATATTAAGAATATACATCGACAAAGTTTCAGTAATTTTACAGAAATGTCCCTTTCCTATTTCTTGATTTAATCTCTTTGGCCTATTTCACCTTTAAGAACTCTTCAGCTTGACAGACTGGATCCAGCTTTGGCTTTTAAGAGACACTTTGCCATTTTGTGTGTCAGCCTTAATCCATTTGTCTGTTTCATTCCTTTGATTCATGTGACCTGGAAAAGAGAATTCTGTTCAGTTTAATCTGACACACAGTAAACATACTGCTTTCATATTTTTCCAAGCTCCCTGGCAATACTTATAAGACTCCTATTTGATAGAAAGTATGTATTTTTAACAGGGGCTTCTGACATCTCATTCTCGATCTAGTTTTTTTGCATTAAACTCAATTCCTATAATATATTATTACAATAAAGTTGTGGGGGCTTTTATATAGTACTATAGCATTTACTATGGGCTAGGAAATATGTCTACACTACAGATTCAGCTGACTAAGTAATTTGAAATGTTTTCATCTTTATGGTAAACAGGCAAAAGAGCCATGGGTAAGACCTAATTTTCCAGATGACCAGACATGTTGCTACTATTACAACTTTCTTACGATAATGGCTTAAAAAACCCTCACCCCTGAGATGTATGTTTTACATTTTTCACAACATTTTAGTCTGCAGAGTCATGCTCTGAACAGCCTGTTCTATACCAGAAGGAGAGAGTTCAACTTACCCTCATTTTACAATTAGGAAGCTGAGGCCAAGAGATTTAGTGACCTTCCAAATTTATACGTAAGATTCATGACCAAATTGGGAATTAAACCAGGATCTTTTAAGTCCCAAATCACTGCCTTTATCACAAGATCAACGTTCCCTGTGGTTTTATCTTCACAAAATATCTTTTATTATTATTTTAGTGTTCATGTGACTGAGTGAATTCTAAGTTTAGAACTAATGTGAGCCTGGAATAGCACAAGGGATGGCAGGGAAACAGATTCTGAAGCAAGTTTGCAAACATGCTCTGCTCTGACCTGTCACACAGCTGAAATTAAACTCTGGCCACATCAAACCCAGCGGCAAAACTCCAACGGACATCACTGCATTGCCTTCCACAACTCAAGCCTCTGAGCCAGAACTTTTAACTAGCATTTCAGTGCTTTGGTAGATCTAAGTGGGATTAATGTGAGGGTAAAGGCCAAACCCACATCAATGCATTAGAAGGCTGAGGTACTGTCTAGAAGTACAGGATTTTCAGAGAAGTCCAACAATGTTGGATAGAGTTCTCCCACTGAATGAAGAGGTATTTCAGTGTCTTTTACTGTCAGACTACAACATGCCTTCAAGGATCTCCATATGGATGTCCTAGTCCATCTTCTGCACTCCTGATTGCTCCAGGCAGCAACAGTCATAATATCACTCCTATTGTAAGGCAGGATCCACAGTTCTGGTGTCCATCTAATTATGGACTGACATCTATGATGATCATCACAAATGTGGATACACGTTTTGTATGTGGAATCTGTAAAAATCTGAAACTTCAATTCCTCAGAGAGCTTTCCTGAATCATCAATTTGCAATAGTATTGTACCAGAGAATTGAGAAGAGAAAACAAAATAATCTTTGAAGCAGAGGTATCCCTTAAAACATTAGATCAGACCAAATTAAACAGGAAATAGCTTCAGGGTGTCAAAAAAAAGAACCAGCAATGAAGTGTAAAGGAAAATTCCAGTAGATCCCTTAACAGAGTTTTAGAGCACTGCAAATATGGTTAGGGGTTCCCTTCCCCTTCAGGAGAGGGGTGACAATAAATGTAGGGCAAAGATATATTTTCCAGGAAGTGCACATTGAAGTGCTTGGTCCCAGTTCCTCTCATGCTTATGTCTCTATGGCTTGTTCTTCTGTACAAGGACCAAACCCTGAGGTGCAGAACCAGCCCTGCAAATGAACAGTTTCATGCGCTGTTTCCATCCTGCCCCACTTTTGCTGGAAAGTTAAGGAAGAGATTTGAAGAAACACAGAAACAAATTAACAAGAGCTGGTTTAAAGCTCAGTTGTTGTCTGAGCTCTGTTTCTCATTTTGCATTTGCTGTGTGAACTTAGAAAAATGTTTTGTTCCTTATGCTTTATTTGGAGATCCGCCTGTGAAGGGAATGCAGAAAGTAGTATCAAACTGCCTGCAGGAGTGTCAAGTTCCCCTCCCTAGGGATGAAGATCTTCAAACTATTCTTGAGTTACTAAGTCTATTGCCAGTAGCAGGTTCAAATCAAGCTTAAAATATTTAAACATCTTTGTGCATGAGATGCTAATCAAACAACAAGGTTTAGTTGGAGACCTTTTGATGACAGTTTGGTCTTAACTGTACTCACTGCCTGCACTCTGAATACTGTGGGAACATGAGTGGATTTTGAGGATGCCTTTGCTAGCATGATTAAATCACAAAAGTCAACAGTCTGCGTGGCCACTTTTCCAATTTAATGCCCAGGTAAAAGTTGTTACGGTTTTTGGTTTTGGTGTGGTTTTGTTTTGCCTCTCATGTGTATCTGAAGGCAGAGGACACCTTTGCAGAACATTATGCAGTGAAGTACTTGTTTAACCTCTCCAGTCTCCAGGAAGACAAGTGAATAGGGACCTCTGTTTTCATATCACAAAACACACAAAGATGAGCATATTTTAAATGGTTGTCACTGGTATTGTTGTCAGGACTGTGGTATATCTCAATAAGCCTATGAACAGCTTGAGTTAACTGCAAGCTGAAACCAATAAAAATCTGTAGGATAGCATCTCAGCTAGTGTGTTTTATAAAAGTTGGATGAACTCTCTATTCGACTTGAAGGAATGTAATCTTTTCCAGATACAACCTGGGTCTTTGTTTGTTTTACTAAGATACTGCTTAAGGACCAAGGCTTCACAGAGTGACAGTGTTTAGAGGGACATTGTGAAACTGCACAACAAAGCTCTTCCAACTTAATTCTAGTGGCAAAGAGTCAATAAAATTTGTTTCTAGGAAAGAAGGACAGTTTTGAAGAAGTGCCTTGAGAACAGACAAATGGGGAGGGATACAACAGCTGATAGTGTTACTCCAGAGATCAGAACCATAACTCTGATGCAAGACCCAAGCCAGCTGCACAGTGGGAGATGGAGTGCTCCACTCAGCAGCTGCTTAGTTTCAGAAGAAACTGAAGTTTCAGCGGACTGCCATAATACAAGCTCTTTCAGTATTTCCCTTTTAAAGGCAAGTTGCTTGCCTCATGTTATTCACTGTCCCTTCAGCTGTGTTTGTATTTAACCCTGGAACTCCAGGCAGCTAAAATACACAGACATTACCTTAGAATAAACAACATAGAGTTTCTGATAACAGAAACAGTTAAGCACATCAGTAGAGCTTTGTATGCATTGTATGAGACTTATGCAGTCAGCTCCCTCCTTACACAATCCTACAGGGTAAGTCCACAGCACCTCATAGGCTGCTCTCCCCATACTACTGGGTGAGGAGCCATTGCATAAGCAGGGAGAAAGAAGTTATTCCTGAAGGTAGAAAATGTGTCTAAATCCCCTGTGTTTCACAGGGAACCTAGATCTAACCTGAGTCAGATGTTAAAGTCTTTTTATTTCAGTGCATGCCTCAGTGAATGAAAGTGAAGAGAAACCCAAAAATTCAGAGACAGGATGGTCAATATCCATCTTTTCCAGGCAATCTGGTAATTAGACAGGCTGACTCTCTCTAGAGGCATGTGAAGAGGAAGGCTGTCTAAAGAGTTGCTAGTGATTAAAATAATACTTGGATGCTCATCAACCCAAAAAAGTAGAAGCAACATCTACCTGGAAACTTTCACAGGAGAAAAGGGTTCAGAGAAGACAACACAAAAGAGAGAGCCCTGTTACCTGCGTTCAGCGTTGCCAGAAGCATAACCCTGAGAGGAACACTGGTCAGAGGTGGCTCAGCAAAGCTGTATTGCTGTGGATGGAGTGGGATAAGTACCAAAAGCTCTTTAGCCTGTTAACTGCTGCAACTATTGTCAAGCTAGAAGAAACAGAGAGGAAGAATGTCTTGACTTGGAGAAGACAACCATTCTCAGAGTATGTCCTTCGAAAGAGGGCAGAAAAATACACAGAGATTGGTTTTCCAGCTTGAGAAAGTAAGAATAAGGAGGCACAATAACCTACAAAGACAAACATCCCCAGCCTCTGAGGAGCACCTGTGACACTGTGGGACTTTTACCAAGGAAACTCATGGAAGTGCTGAAAACCAGATGGAGTAAGTGACTGCCAAGGTTAAAAGCTCCCCCAGCACCAAGCAGATGGACAGCATCAGGTCAGAGGTTGCTGCTGGAAATGAACTCGGCACTAGAACTGGGGCCAGGGATGGAGAAAGATCTGGAGTCAGACGAGACCCTGGCACCGCTGAGATGCAAGATACACATGGTGTAAAGAAAGGGGTTATATTCCAGACAATTAGATTTGGCAATTGACACCACCGGCTACAGAGTTCCAAAGAAAGTCTCTGACTAATTGCAAGACTTTTTCCAGCAAGCTTACAGATGTCAACACATGCTGGCAGTGGAAGGGGGCAGAAGTGTGCCCACTGGCTGCATTACTTTAGTCCCCAAATTCATCCACCCACATGCCTCATAACCTTCCTTGGAATTACTGTGGAGTGGGTGGGAGCAGATGGTCACATCAACTTAGGACAAGAGAAAATAGGGCTGAAAGCAAGTACAGTGCTCCTGAGGATGCTCTGCATTTAACCTGACACGCTTGCCTAGCTTGTTCTTCACAAGCTCCAGCACTGACAGTTCTATGGCCTCACCAGATAAATGTTTACTACAGCAATTTTAGCTTATTATTTAGCTAGTTTTCTTTATTGTAAGGTCAAATAATAATTTCTAGTCCTATCAGCAGTGGACAGTGAACAGTTTATTTCATTCATCTCTGCAACAATTTCTTACATACAGGAAAAGTGTATCTTATCTTCCCTCAGTCTTCTCTTCTTTACAAAGAACAACACTTTTTTTCAGTCTTCCCTCATGAATCATGTTTTTAGGGCTCTGATCATGTGTTCTCCTTTGGAGTCTCTACAGTTGGCCACATCCTTTTTGAAGTGCAGTACTCAAAACTGGTCAGCTTCCAGCGAAGTATTACTAATGCCAAGTAAAGCCAAGGGATTATTTTGAGTTTTACAGAACAGTCATGTTAATGTAGTTTATTTTTTGCAACTGTGTAATGTTATTGTTTCCTGTTTACTCATGCTTTTATTGAAATATTATTCCTACCTTCATACTTTGAACTTAGAAGGACTTTTTGGAAAAATGGCCTAAAAAGAATGTAAATCAAGATTATTTTAATTTTACCCATGCCCTTCTCCATGTTTGTAACCTAAGCTCCTTTTCTGCTTAAACATTTGACACTTTTTAGCCTGGTACCCTTCTTCTTGCTGTATATGGTTCCAGATACAGTTTATAATCTCTACAGGCTTCTTGAATCAGCTGATTTAAGAATACAGGTAGACCTGGAGACACAAGGACATTTCAGACATCATGCAGCAAGGGCTAAGCAGAATGCTCTCATCCTACCCTCTCAGCCAGGGCAAGGAAAAGGATGCCCTGACACAATCACCATCAGAAATTACTGCATTTACTGAAGCACTCTCAAACTAGACAGTCAAACAAATGCTGGACCAGTGCTTGAGATGGAAAATGTGTTTTTATAACAGATTTAATTATATCATATATATTACTTCTAAAAGTTCCTACTGATGTCAATAGAAATAGATGCCTTATCTTTGCAAACTGCTCCAAAGAATAAACTCCCTGACACTGCTCTCTGATTCCTCCACTTTCCCAGCAAGCATCCCCATCTTGCAGGGAAGTCCCTTTTCTAAGACCAAAACAACTTTCCATATGCCCATCACTGCCTCTAGAGCATTCTCTCCAGGCTTTCATCTTCTTGCTTCAACTGAATCCCACTCTGTTCCTTGGTGACACTGTGAAAGCCTAGATGTGGCTGCTCATGGCAGTAAGTGTCCTGTCTTCCCCCCTCTGTCTTCCCAATCTGCAGCAGGGAAGGTCTTCCTAGAGCAGGGAACAGACTATGTACATGTTCACCCAAGTCAACTCTACCCTGTCTCCCCACTGGAAAGCTTCCTCTCCAACATCTCTCACAATATTCCCAGAGGCAAAGCTTCCTGAAAGCAGCTGGTTCCTGTTCCCCACACGAGAACTGGACAGTTTGTGAAAAATCATCTATCCCCACATGAGAACTGGACAGTTTCTGAAAAAATCTTCTATTTTTAACCTAACCTTTAAGCTCAGAAGTATAAAAATTGAAACCGTCATGCTCTTGTGATAGAGTGGGTCTTTATCCACTTTTACCCACTTTATCCAAAACCCCTCTTCTCTCTCAATTTTAAATTTCTTTGGTTGCATCAGGACAACTATAGACTCTGAAACTTCAAGAGTGGGTAACGTTTCATGATATAGAAACAGTATTAAATGATTTTTAATTATTTCAGAATCTACTTGTATAAGAAAATTCTCAAATACCAACTTTAATGTTAAAGAGATCGTTGAGAATGAGGAGATAACTGCTTGGCCTGCACAAAGAACTTGAGGGACTCAATGATCTTAAAGGTCTTTTCCAACTAGAAGGATACTGTGAAAGAATACACTGTCCCCATGGGATAAGGTAAAGAAAAGGGAAAGCAGGAAGCATCTCCTGTGGCCATGCCAAAGCAGTGTTACTGACTTGGCAAAGAAAGAGGATGCACTGTTTTCAAAAAGGTTAGAAAAGGAGCAAAGCAGATATTAAATCCAACTACTTCATCTCTTGTCACATTTATTGCTTCTTACTGAACAATGAAGAAAAGGGAGGAAAGATCTGCTATAAATCCCTGGTGTCATCAGGTGAGCAAGCACTCAGCAAAGCTAAATGCTGCACAGAGAGACAGATGCAGACACGTTATGTCAGGGCAGCACTGCTCTAGCTGAGTTGTATCATGCAGAAAATCCATTCCAGGCACATTTCTCAGTCACCTGGATTAGGATCAATTAAGATCTATGTTTAATATTTTTTTTGTGCAATGCTGTAACCTCTTTCAACACCTGATAATCAGTGGCCTAAAGCTGTTGTCTCTGCACAACTCTTGCTGATATCCATGCCTGTGGATACATACATTAACTAATCAGAGCCACTTGTGGCCGCAACTGCCAAGATCATTTCCATGCAGGATGGTGGGTGCAAAATTACATCTGCTTCAGCAAGGACTATCCTACAGTAAATACTGGCTGGGTCATAAAACCAGAGAAGCCACTCAGCTGTGTGTATTTGAAACACCACCCTTATCTTTTTGCCAGAAAGACAATGGACTGGCCAGTGATTCTCATTCACTGTGTTCTTTTACTGCAGAGGCGACTCATTCCACAGGGCCCTGCTGGGATCTGAGGTCCTTCCACAGGTTTCTAGCCTGAAAGCTTCTAACTATGGTTGAAAAAAAAATATTTATATTTAATAAGCCCTTGTAAATACAAGTGCTAGTTACTGTTTAAGACAGGAAGAGATACATGTATACATTTCAAGACTACTATTTTATATAAGCAGGCTACATATTAAAATTATGTACATTCACTTCTAACATTTCCTGACTTTGAGATTATCATCTTACATGGGGGAGGAAAAGAACCTTTGTGCATGTTTTTTTAGGTTTAAAACCAAACAAAAACTCAAAGCTCTGCTATCATATCAGGTCATACTGACACAACACGTTCAAAAACAAAGCTGGAGCCTTAGACATGTTACATTAGTGTTTCCTCCTGAGCAAACTGAGTAATTGGTAACAGCAACAGCTTTATCTTCTAGATGGATACATCTGGAGAGGAGAGAAATACACACCCTGACAATGAATAGTACAACTGTTTCCTAAGCAGGAAAGAGCAAGACTTGGGCTTCCTGAGTTCAATTTTAAATGCATCAGAAGAATGCTTTCAATAATTGCAGGCACTTTTCCATGTACTCTCTATTCCTTCATGCTCCAGCTTCTTCTAGCTATCTCCCATCCATCATTTCTCATAATTGTTTAAATTTATATTGTACATTTCTAAATATGCCATATACTCCTTTACTTCCCCCTCCCACCCAACAGATATAGACAGAGAAAAACTTTTCATTATATTTCTAATATATATTCCCTGACAATTTATTTTATGTGACTGTCTAAGCCAACAAAGCAACGGGTCAAATTCAGCCCTGGATTACCTCCCACAAACTAACTGGAATAATGCTGAATAATTTGGCTCTAAGACTTTTGTTAGGGAAACAGTTGTTTGCATTCACAAGTCATTTACAATGAAAAAGCCACCTAGTAACATGGGGAGTACAATGGCACAAGCAAACATTTGAACCTGAAAGAAATGAAACAAGAAGCCAAGAGCAATAAACTCATAAGGAAACATAGATGCCTTTGGCTAAGGCCAGACAGACATTTGTTGGAAGCCAAGATTAGTCACCCTTACCACTTATAGTTACGTGATCATCTTCATAGGCACTCTGTGTTTCTTTTAACTGGATCTCTGAGCTCACATCCACTTTTCTTCCAGACAACTGTAAATAGGCTTTGAGAGAGGCAGGCACCTTGACTGTAATACATCCTGGGATAAATTTAAAAGAAAGCTAGTTAGTTTTACATAGAGATTAAAGCATGAAACACAATTATTCAGCCAAATTGAATCAAATTGTTGTCTGTTTGGCTTATTTTTAAGAGCCTGCAGACACAGTAACCTCTTTCTTATCTCTGAAAGTATAAACAAAGATACCTTCATAAATCATAACCAGAATGCTTGTAGAAATGGTATCACACTATTTCCTTGGCAGACATGAAAATTGACATGGACATATAACTGCTAGCAGTGACTCTTGGAAGAGGATCTTATTTCAGGAGTGTTCAAGGGAAACACATCTTATAGATCCCATAAGTGTTATGACTTAATTAATATTCTAGTTGCATATTTACACTCCTGAGCAAGGATGGGAGACTGGATTTGATGTTCAATCCAGCCACTGCCTGGCACATGATGAAAGAACTGCTCCTCTGGACTGATAATGCCACTTACCTACAGTTAACACTAAGAATTGTCTGTGCTTCACTGCACAGGGCCAGCTGTTCACATCCTGGAACAGATGCAGCCTCAAAAGTGACCAAGCAGTTTAGACTGTGTATCACTAAAATGCCTGAATAATTTTATCCTTGTGATTAAAAGCAAATTCTGCCTTCTAATTCCCCTAAATATGTGCTTCTATCCATCAGACTGAAAGCAGATCTTGGGCCCTCAACCTGCCCATGTTAGTAATTTTGGAATTATTCAGTCACAATGTTTGGAAGCTGCACCCCACACATTTAAACAAAACCTACCAACATGCAGAATACACTTTCTGTATCCATACTCCTTACTTCTTGCCCAATTCCAATATTCACTTTAGAAAAACATACAAAAGTTTCTTCAAATACATCCCAAAAGCTGAAGCAGAACATGGTAAGAAAACTGATGACACAACAACTAAGTTGCAGTTAGAAAACAATCCTGGCAATGTAATCTAAATTCAGCAGAATCACTTGCCTCTGAACTGTCAGAATAATTTAGGCCTAAATTTTGCTGGATACACCAAAGCCTTAAGATAAGAAAGGGAAAAGGTCTTAATCTTTGGGTGCTCCTTAGGGAGTTGCTCAGTGACTCAAAAAATCCAACACACATGCCGTTTATTTATCACAAATGGGACATTTTCTACACTGCAGCTGTCAGCAGTTACTCTGAATTTATGGGGTAAATGAAAACAGAACTGCATCAACTTTGCTTTTAGTGAACTGTCCTGCCAGAAGAGATGTCAGGCAATGTTTTGAAAATAACACTAACTAGCTTTTATTAAATACGCTCCTCTTTGCTACTAATTCAGAGATGTAGCTTAATATTTTAAGTGCTTCAGAAGGTAACTAGAAAAGAAAATTAAAAATATTTTCTTTGCCAATGAAACTGGAATAGCTTGTACAGAATGGAACACAAGTGATTTCAATGCATTTCCTTCATTATTCCCCTTCTGAGTAACTATTAGGGCAGAGGGATTGTCTCACAATGAGAAGAAGGTACCAAACACCACGTTCATTTAAATCACCTGTAGTGTCTGACAATGTTGAAGTATAGAAATGTTATAGTGCTTTTTTTCCCTTGTTCTTTGCCATTCAGAAGATAATGATATTGTAAAACTATGAATCCAGCTTTATGAGTGAGCTTTTAACTAGGATGTGAAATTTTAGTGAGCAATCAGGAGAAAAAGGAAGAATGGTAAAATAAGGCCCCCTCATCTTTGTCTACCTTCCAATTTCAATAATGGGACATTTGATCAGGAAAAAGAAAGTAAATGTGTGATGGTGGTCACTCTGCACACATATTTATCAGCATTATAAAGTAAACTGTGCTCAAGGCAAAGGAAGATTGTAATCCAAGTGAACTCTGAAGAACTCTTCAGAATTCTGCAAGTTAGATTGCCAGGAAAAAAACCCAAAACATTGAAAAACAAAACAATTCTATAATCCATTTGAAGTATCATTGTCCTTTACAGAGTTTACTGTATTATAAGTAAAAAAGAAGGTAGATAACCAACAATCCCAAACTCATTTTTTTCCAGAATGATAAACAAAAGTCCCTTTACCCCCCTTTCTTTTACATCATAAGCTGCCACAGAAAATATTTGCTTTAGTTTACCAACCTTTCTCGGATTTCAGATCCACTTTTCTTAATTGACTGACATAAACATCTATTGCCCCATGATGTGTAGAAGCTTTTAGACTTCCATCTGATGAATCTAAAAAAAATAAAAAAGACAATAGAAAAACTTGTTTATTGTTCACTCTTTTTACTTAAAAACTTGCTGTCATCCTTATTTGTACTTTGAACTGGTTTTGTCCGTTCTTCCATGTTTTACAAGTATCTTATATTTATTTAGTGAATGTCAGACCTCTCAGAAAAACAGGTTTCTGAACAAAATTTCTCCCCAGTCCAGAACTGGGGCATCCAGTGATCCAAAGGTCATTGCCCTGCAGTTGTTACTGGACTTGTAGCATCTACAAGGTTTTAACAACACTCCCCCCTTTCTAGAAGAATGGATCCATCTCTGTGTGAAGACCAAGCTCAAACTCTCAACACTATCAGGTAATTCAGTTTCCCTAAGAGCTCATTTGCTCAGACTCTGCACAGGGAGAACTGTCCCCAGGAAAACTACCCCATGCAACGACCAAGCAGTTGTACATTGTAACTTGTTCCACAGAGGAACTGCTTATCAGGCTTTGTGAAGTCTGATTCACTACATCTGAATGTTAAACAAATGTTTGAGATAACTATTGCACTTAAATACCCATAGGAAAACAGCATTCATTCTTTGCCCTGGAGTAGACAGCCCTACATTTTCTTCTATACCTTATTAACTGAAATTTATTATAACAAAACTTTCTGAGGAAACCTTTTTACAAATATAATGTCTTTAAGAAGCCTTAATTGTATACTTGAGAAGTAGTCTTTAATGACCTACAACTTATTCCAGTTTTAATACACAAATTTCTACAATATTACAGTGAAGTCCTGCAGAGTTAACTTTTGAACTATGATTTAAAAATGCAAAGAAATTACAAAGCAAGTCTAGAGATGCATTAAAGAATTACATATGTGCATAAGGCAGTGAAATATCTTTTTAGATTCACTGCTAGAAATTAAACTATTGGCAAGAAATCCTGAAATACTGATAGAGACTGTTGTTCTTAATTTCTCAATGTGCATAGAAAAAGAAACAGTCAAACTTTCAGAACCAGCTAAAATAATAAAATTAAACCCAAATGAAACTTCCTATTTTTAAAAGTAAAAACATTAATGAATTAATTGATCATAACAACAATGCCCAGCATTAATGCCTAAAGCTTTCATATAATTTTAGTTCTAAATAAACTCAAGTGGAGCTTTTCTGATGCCAGGTCTCAAGCACAGAAGACCAGTGTGTTGCATATGAGAGTAAAAACACAGAAAGGGACTATTAACCCACAGCTAAAACTGATTTCTTTGAAGGGGAAAGTAATTAATGTAGCCAACTCATATTTAGACAGCTGAGAAGCTAAGACTCTCCTTGATTAACATGAAACCAATAACAACTACAATTGGATGGGAATGTTTTTCCCATATCAGTGGATTGAGTGAAAGAAGTTCTGCTCCAAATCTGAAGGAAAAAAAAAAAAATGAACTCTTTAAGTGAAATTAATGAACTGGGAAAAAAACTTTTCCTTGTGTAAGTCACAATGAAACACTTTATCCATAACTTTTTAAAATATAAGTTTGGAAATTAAAGTCATTGAAATGGATTTTTTTTTTAATGAGTCAACCCCTTTAATTTATTTTTTTTTTGTAGCAATAAACCAACATTTTCACATCCAAGCTATTTTTGCAGATATTCCAAATAAAATTTAGTAACAGCCAATCCCTGTGACTCCACATAACCTTGACAGAGATTTTGCTGGCAAAAGATACAGGAAATATCCAGCCTCTGACTCTAGTGCTCTAAACAAAAGATGCAGTTAGTTCTTTTATCTGCACCATGAAGAAAGAAGAGCCTCTTGTGGTAGGACAAGGACCCTCTCCAGGGAGAACAACTGATGATGGTCTTTAGGACACCACCAGCTGATGGTACTTCACAGGGACCCATATTAATCAGTTAATCCTGATGATAAACCCAGTAGTAACTCAGTAGACATTAACTCATAATGAACTAATTTTTTTAACTTTTGTTTTCATAATCTGACACCTGAATGCTAAGAAAAAGCAGCTGATTCTAATCTGCTTGGACAGCAGCACCCTTTGTGCAGGAATGTGTGGGAGAAAGCATAGGAACAATTGGGGGGGAAAATAAATTACAGGTTAGTCATCAGTGGAACAAAGAAAAAGGTCGAGTTCTGAGATACAGGATTGGAAGAAGGAGACTTGAAATGAAAACCAGAACGTTAACACAGTTCAAGGAGATTGCAAAGACTAGATCAATAGAAATAATTGTTATTAAGGGACAAGCATTTGTGTGATTTATTTTTATAAAGCACTTAAGAGCTGCACTTTATGAAGTACAGTAAATGCCTTTAGTGGAATTCAAAAATGAGGTTTTTACTTTTAAAATTCCATAGAGCACATAATAAAAATTGAATTCTCAAAATAAAACTCAAAGATGCAGTGTTACTTCTAAATACACTAGAGTTTATTGCTTTCTTTTTCTGTTATCCAAAACTGTCTTGAATACTGTAACTGTTTTCCATAATTGATTCCCTTTATAAATTAAAACTTAGGTGTTATGTCTCAGTCCAGGGAAGTGCCTTACACAATAGTCTCATCACAAAGGAGGATCTTAGACATCTCAATTCACTTTCATGTCAGGACTACACTCAAATTTTGAGAAAGCTGAAATGTTCTTAGTTGTTAAGTTTCTGTTGATTTAAGACAGTGAGCATCACAGTAAGTCACTGAAGACTTCAGGTTATCTGGTGTGGGTTACTGATGAAAGAAATTAACAGAATAAGGCAAACTGTCACTGACATAATAAAAGAAAAAAATAGATTTTCTTGGATCTTAAGATACAGTTTCTTGCCAGAATAAGTCCCTGCTGTCCTGTTAAGGCTGTTCCCCAACCCCTCAAAAACAAAATACCACCATAAGCTTTATAATTTCTGACTACACCAAACACAGAAGGTTCAGTTCTTCACTGTGTAATTGTGTCAAACACAAGTAATCCAGCAAGGAAAAACAAATTCTTTTTTTTGAACCAGTAGAGGAAAATCCGGCTTGGCAGCAGGGTGGAGAATATATATAATCAGCCCATGCCAGTAACATTAAGCAACAAGCAAATCCTAGCAAGACTGAACATGAGCCAGCAGTGTGCCCTGGCAAAAAAGAAATCCAACAGTATCCTTGGCAGTATTAGCTGGAGCATGGCCAGCACACCACGGGAAGGGATTACCTGCTCAGCACTTACTGGACACATCTAGAACACAGCATCTAGTGTTGGGGCTCCCAAGAAAAGGGAGACATCAATAAACTGGAAGAAAAACACAAAGAAATGCAGGCTGTGGAGGACCCTCCCCATCAGGGGAGGCTGAGGGATGAGGCTTGCTCAGCTTGGAGAGCTTCAGGACCTGACAGCAGCCCCCCTGTATCCCTGAGAGGTTGATCAAGAGGACAAAGCCAGGCTCCTCAGTGGTGCATATGAGAGCACAAACAGACACAAGCTGAAACAGGAGAGTTTCAGTCTGGATAAAAGGAAAATTTTTTTCACCCTGAGGACAGTCAAGCAGTGCAATTTTGCTCAGAGAGGCTGTAGAGTCTGCATCCTTGGAGGTTTGCAAGAGCACAGGATAAAGCCCTGAGCAGCCTCACAGCTGGCATGGCTCTGAGCAGGAGGCTGGAGACCAGAGACTGCTAGAGCAGGGTGGCTGCACAGATCGACTGCCACAAGTCCCTTCCAACCTCAACCATTCTGTGATTCTGCAACTTCCTGAGGCCTGTTCAAACCCCAGTTCTCCTATGAATTTACCAAATAAAAAATTAAAATATTGATCTAGTTCTAAAAACAAAGTACTCCATTAATTTTTTTAGATTATTCAGATTTCTAATGACTAAAGTAGTAACTTAAACTAGAAGTAAAAACAGGTCTGGTTATTTTCAGTTAAAGCCCATTCAAAGCACATGGAACATTTGTTAGAAAGTTTCTAGTCTAGGGCTAGAAAACAATTTGTCAGTGACTAAAAAGCTCACAGTAGAGAAAAAAAAGGAATAATCCCTGTTTTCTTATTTTAACCATGTCAGTGTGAAATACTGCCATAGGACAGATGCTTAAAAAATTGCACTAAATTTTGAATGGAGTTTTCAAAGACCATATTTACACAAACAATACCAACATAAAAAACCTAAATCAAATCAAACTACTCTCTATACAATAAAAACCAAAAAATTAAAAGGGAGTAAGAAACAAAAGCATTGATCTTCTGTTTTAATGCAGAATTATAAAAGAATAAGAAACTGTTAATACAGTTTCTTATATCTTCCCCAAAATATATTGAAAAAAATCCAGCACTCCCAACCCTGCTTTAGTTTGTTTTATAAAAAAAACAAAAAACAAAAACTCTCAAAAGCTAAGGATAGATCCTCAAAGTCAAGAGAATGCATTTTTTTCAGTTAACTGATAAAATTGTGTCTCCAGTGAAATAAATTACTATATCCCTATGAAAACGTAGCTATAGAGTTGGAAGATCTGAGTTGTTCCTCCTATGTGTATCAGCACATCCCTTTCAAGTCTCTGGAAATCCAACGAACTATCTTGTGGTGTAAACTTCTCACACACACAAAAAATTCATTTAAAAATTAACATTCTGTTTCTTAAGCTTTTAAAGTTGAATCACTAGATCTGAAAAGTCAATTGCTTTTGGAAAAAATCGATAAAAATCTAAGGGATGTTTAAAGTTCTTTAGGAATAAGATTTAAGTCTAACTACTGCTTTCAGAATTGAAATCTGAAAAATAATGTTTATTAAACTGTAAAAAGTGTCTTAATGTTTAAGCTGAGTCTGGCTAATTAAGGAAGATATAATTTCTAATAACAGAAATCTTTTGATGGAAAAAGCTAGCTCCTGCATTAAGAAACTTTGATTTGAACACTCTTCATATTCTATAAGTTTATTTAACAGCAAAAAAACAGACTAGCAAGCTTAATTTAATTCTGTGGTTTAATGACTAACTCCTAAGAATGTGCATTGCCTTATTTTCCTGGAACATTAATACAGATTGCTTAGAAACACAAGAAGAGTTTGACAGTCCAGCTCGTCCCTGAACAATGCTTTCTCAGTGACTATGGTTACTACCATTAGCAGAAGTCTTCAAGGTTTGGGCCTGTCACCAAGTTTATTTACAGAAGGGGAAACCCTTCCATGTACATTTAAGACACACGGAGTCATGTCTATGATTCTGTTACTTCCATTTTCTGCCATGGAAATGACCAGATTTTAGTTTCTCACTTTCGTGTTGATGTACTATAAAATGGTCAATCGAGAAGCTCTAATGTTTTCCTAGAATAATGTAACTGATAGAATGTGTATCATAATTGAGAACTCTGAATTATCCTGTTGTATAAAAGCCCACTTATTGGAGTAATAGTTTGGAAACGTTTATATTATCACAAGCCACAGTATGCTACACATCAATGATTAATAAAAATTAATCGTAGCTAACTATTAGTATCAACAAATGTAAGACAGAAGTTAGAGGCACAATGATTGCATAGGATGAATGCTTAGTCTTTTCTCATGTCCTTTCATCCCATCTCAATCCACAAGACAACACCTCAGTCCAACCCATGCAGAGCCCAGCAGTCCCGTGCTGCACAAGGCAGAACATGCCCTGCCCTGCTGCCAAAGGTGACAGCCGGGCTGGGACAGCATCTCCTGCAGCTACAGAGCTACCCCTGCTAGTCCTGGAAAGAGGGCAGAACATATGTAAGGAAATACCTCCTTTTTCCTTTCCTTGTGGACATTTAGCTTTTAGAATGGCAAAGGGAAGAGTAAGAAAAAGTTCTCAGAAGTTAGAACCTACCTACTGTGATACTGCCTGTTTTGGTCTGAAGGCTGGTGTTACCTAGTGAGAAAAGAAAAGTGGAAAAAAAATGTTAAAAGCTGATTATTTAACTGCTTTCTGAAATTGTAGCAAAGGCTAAAGTAATGTGATCCTATGCAAGGGCATTACAGTCACAGTAGTATATCTTATTTGCATATAAAACCAAAATAGAACCAACTAATTACATTGTTTGAATATTATTGCTTTACAAATAAAAATCTCAACACGTGGGTAACAATGAAGTGATTCCAGACAGGAAGGATTCCAGACACTGAGCAAAGCTTAAAGATACAGACTGGGTGTGAGGGAGAGAAGCATTGTGAGGCTAAAGCACAATATTTTCTTAGTTTGTTTTGGGCCTTTTTTGTTTTTTAATTGCTCCGATGTCTGCAACAGCACTATAAATGATTTAAGTAGTTTTAATAGGATAATTAACACCAACAGTTACTATTTTCCTCTTTTTTATACATACATGCCCCCCTCGGAGGTAATTTTGTGCTTTATTCTCAAAGACTAATTTCTGGATTAACTCAACATTACCTACTGCCTCCAAACTCATGTGCATAACAACCCCTTGTCAATGCTTTTCATTGACTTGACTGACATCTGAATGTGTTGGACAAACTGGGGAACATCAAACAAAAGAGCACATAAGGCATAAGATGCAGAATGGACTCCTACTGAACTTGCATTACTTTCAACAGACACTAGCGTTTTATCCTTAATCTCAAAATTTATACTCTTTCCTTTTACCTCTTGGATCAAGGGGATCTGGAAGAAGGACAGAGGTACCTCAGAACAGAAAAGCCTTCTATGCTATTAACAATCTAACAAAGTTGGTAGAAACTCCCATAGTTCCATGAATGTTACATGTGTAACTGCCTCACAAAAAATTATTTAAATTAAGAACTAAAGCACAGCATGTCATTCTTGCCACTCTTTCATCTTCCCAGAAGGATAACAGATGGAAAAATAAGGCTGATTGTATTAATTGAGTCCATTTAGTAATACACAGTATTCACAACAATTTTCAGAACTTTTGACAGAGGCCTTTAAAAATTGCAAATGGATCAAGTTCTGTTCTTGTGTTCCATAATTACACAGTAGTAAACAATCATTAGGGCAGAATGCATTCCACTGGGTATGACCTGTAGTGTTTTCCTTAGTGGTCTGTAGGCTGGAAGCTAGAAAAGCAGCCTATCATCAAGAGACTTAAATTCATCATTTCAAGCACATACTGTACAGAATACTTAGGGGTTCTGAAAATCAGAGCTGAAACAAAACCATATTTGAATGGACTTGGAAGACATTTGGCTTTACTGTTTGATGTTTTTAAAAGGCACACTATAATTACACCATCCTTTTCTACATTTTATCACAACTAGCACTTACTTTCGTACAACCTACAAGAAAGACTAGAGTTTTCTCAGCTGGCAACTCACAAGGAGCTGAAGCTATTATACTGTCTGAATACAGCCCCTGGGACTTGAGGATTTTTTGGTCTGCTCTTTGTTTTTATGGGGTTTTTGTTTTCTATTTTCAGACCCTTGAAAAATACTAAACATTTAGAAATCAAACCCCTATTAACTACAAACTTACACAGTAGATACAACTAATGTTGCGTAATGTAAACGTATTACTGTGACAGGCTCACTTCAAACAATTAGCCAGAACACAAGTTGCTTTTAAAGCAGACAGGAGTGTCCTGCCATGTTGTCACCTGCAGTGTCTACAGACAGTGCACAGAAGTACATTTTTGGTCATGCAGTTGTTCCACAAAGGCCAACACTTACCTTACTATTTTTAAGTTATTCACCTATTTTTTTGACAAGTCAAGGGCAAATATAGAAAGACCTGACTAGAGGCCATTGCTAGTTTGATTATTACATCCAACTGACTTCAGCTTTGTAGTGCAACACTATGAAGTCTAAAATGAAGTGATTCTGTTTCTACATAGAGTCAGTTTTACTCTTTCAGGTCCTAATTTTGATTCCATTCACGGCCTTCCTGAGCCAAATTTGCACTCCAGCTTGGGCTCTGACAGTGATGGAATTGTACAGGCCAAGTTTCAAACACAAAATGGGTCTCAGGCAGGTTTGTAAAGTTTATGTTGCTTTGCCTTCAAAGTTCTCAGTGCAAAAGCAATGAACTCTAGCTCAGTTTGGTGCACAGATGTGGTGATTTTATGCCAAATATACATACTGGCAAACTGCCAGCTATAGGGAAATAGTGACCTTAACTGCAAGAAACAATCTGTCCAACCATTTACAAAACTAGTACTAACATTGAGCTTCCCCATGAGCAGAGACTCAAGGGAAAGTGATCAGTTTTTTTCTAACATAGAACTATAACCTGAGTTTATATTTTCTGGTAATATATGTGTATACCTCTATGTAATATAATAATTTAAAAGACTTCTAAAGTATTTGCTTTTGCTATTAGAACATGATTGAGGAGCATGAAACTTTGCAGAAAATATTTTTAAAAAAAATAAAAATAAAACAGACTAGAAGTACCAAGCAAATGCTAATGTGCAATTGTTTTTAAAAGAAACTGCTAAAATGATGTTAGGCATTCCAGACCCATTTAGTAGAGAGCTCATGAAAATAATCTTGAAGTAATGTAAGAAATGTCTGTATAAGTTGGGAACAATTCTGTTTGTTTTCACAGTATCGTTCAGCTAAATGACAATGAGACATTACTAAAGGAGTAAGTAACTCACTGCAGTTATTTCACTTCTGTACCATGAAAACAAAAATAAACTTTTCGATGTGCATAGAGGGATGAACACACAAACTGATTATATCATGATATGATTATACCTGGTTGAAGCTACGGGAAAAAAAAAAAAGAACCAAAAGAAAACAGCTTATCAGACAGAAGTACCAGTAACAATACAGTCCCCACATTAGAAAAAATGCTGTAACAACAAGAAGAAAAAAAATATCTTTTTTATGCCTATGCATGTTGAAGGTTAACTTGACCTAACAGGTTTAGAAGCCAGTCTTTATTTTATATAAATGGACAAAGGAGTTGCTCCTTTAAGGAATAAACAAGAGTTATTTCTGAAGCAAGACAACAACACAAAATTGCTGAAAAATTTCAGCAAATTGCTTATAAGACAGATGGAAATCTAGAACTCTGACCTACCTAAATTAATTTTTCACTGTTTGTACATCTTCCAGCTTGTTTTACTTAATATTTACTAAGTCACCCCAAACACATTATAGCACAGTCACAATTAAGTGGGAATTTTGTTTAATTAGAAAACCACACCAGATTCCAAGCCTGACTACTGTTTATATAAATGACACTCAAGTTCATTACTTTTAGATCTAGAAGAAGGTCAGTAAACAGGGGATGGCTTTGAGACCTCTTTCCCCCAGTCAAAGAATACAAACTGTCACCAGTCTATCAGTACAGGGTGCTAGCACACACACAGACCCTTTTTGCTAAAAACTGTAAAATACAACCAAATTCTACCATAGACCTTAGTAGATGCTGTAAGAGTTACTTCTATGAAGTAAATAAAGGGTGGAAAGAGAGGAAGAGAAGACTCTTTACTATTTCTAGTATAATTTCCATTGCTCAATTTAAAAATATTTTAACATCCTTAGCATGTGTCTTTCCAATAATATACAACTTTTTTTATTTCACAAGTGTGCTTATAAAAATGTTTCTAAAAGTAAACACAGTATGCTCTATGGTAAATCAATTCCCATCAATTCAGTCTCTAATAAAAGCCTGTTTTGTTCACTTACTGTGCACAGTTGGTTTAGAATCATTAAGGTTGGAAGGCACCTTAAAGATCATCAAGTTCCAACCCCCTGCCATGAGCAGGGAACCCTACCACTAGACCAGGTTGCACAAAACCTCATCCAACCTGGCCTTAAAAACCTCCAGGGATGGGTCATCAACAACCTCCTTGGGCAACCCATTCCAGTTCCTCACCACCCTTATAGTAAAGAATTTATTCCTAATATCTAACCTAAATCTCCGCTCTCTCAGTTTAAAACAATTACTGGTTTAGTGATGGTCTTTGTGTTACTGCAAACATTACAAACAACTTCAAAGCAGCTAAATTTGTGACGGTATTTTCTACTTACCATGAATACTTCCCAGCAGAATATCACCAGCTACTGAAGACAGAGATGATGATTCTGCATAAAGATACTTAGTTTTCAGCAGCCCATCCTCAGTAGATATGTTGATGGATGTCCCCTGCAGCTTCTCTATATTCACACTCTGTAAGAAACAAACTTAAATAAATATAATGGAAAACTTGTCATCACAGTTTGGAAAGGAAGAAGGAAGCAACATATGAAGAGGCAAAACAAATGGAAAGCAGTTGTTGGTGCAGAACAAATGCAATCAAATTCTTAGCTAAAAGCTACGCAAGAAAAAACAAAAAAACTTTCCATCCAAGAATTCTAGCCAACAAGTTAATGACCTCTACAACATTCCTATGAATTATTACATCCATCAAACAGGTGAAGAAACCAAGCACTCACAGACAAATGAAAGAAAAAATTGATTTATTTTTAAAAACCAAAACATTTCATTTTGAAAGATAATAATAAACCAGCTGTAATAATGAAGACTTAACATTCATACAGCATTATGACACTTAAAAGCACTGGTAATCAGCTTTCTGCTACCATATACTGAAACATGCACTGTCTTTGTGCATACAGCTATTTATGGGGACTTTTAACTGGCTCACTTTGTAGACATAGCTTTGGTGAAGGTTTGCAAAAGAGCCACAGCAGCTCTTTCTCTCACTGTAATTGTTCATGTTACCTCAGTTATTCAGGGCTCTATTCTTGGACTTAAGCCCCAAGCTATACAAAGCCTTGAAAAAGGATAGATAAGATCTCAATTTCTATTTATTTTCAGTAGAAATTGAGAGAAAGCGTAAGATTTGAAAAGCTACACGATGGATAGATTTGGAGAATAAAAAGTGATGACATTATCTCCGTACAAGTGACAAGACGTTTGACATAACCTGTGTGGATTTGGACAAAGCAAAGCAAATCACATTCTTGTGCAACTAATAGATGAATTTAATTCTATTCTTCCTCAGTTAAATTGACTTTTTATGGAATCAGGCAATAGTTCATACTTAACCCCATTCCATTTGTTTTTATTTTTCTTATGCGGATTTTCAGTGAACTCAACAAAATCCTTATTCATCATATGAAATGATACATGACTCTCTAGATCAAACTGTGCTTTATGTCAATTTACCTTTAAACCCACTTTGTCATTTTACCCTTCTCATCTTGTGGAAAAAAGTTAATACAAAAAAAATGAGTCTGCTGACCCTTTCAGCATTATGTTATGTAAAAAATATGCTATGGATGAAGTACTCTCACAAACTTCAATTGTGTTGCACAAGCTCCATCTTGCATTGTGTCCCAAGGAGTTAAAGAGTCTGGTTTGGTACATACTATATGATAGTCTAATTACACTGTGAGTTTATCAATCCATACCTATTGAGCTTTATGCCATCTTTAGCCCTTAATTCATTACAAAATGGACTGTTGTCTTAAGACTTTTGGTTTGATGCTACAAAGTAGGCCTTCTAAGAATGTAACAAGATACATTAATCTTTAAGAAAATCTGATAATCAAAGTGCTGAGCTAGAATTCAAGATGCATGACAGTATCTACAATCTCTGCAGGTAATGCTGCTCAGATCTGTGCTACAGCATCTAAGCATCAGCCGTGTACAAACCAATGATATTAAGGTATAATTTTTCATTACTGAAAGGGCGAGCAAGTCAACTTATCAATCTTCCACAGTGCTTCTAACAAAACTCTAACAAGCAGAGACTTTAGCAAACATTAAGTTTATGTTACTGCGTGTCCTAGGAACATTTCTCAGAATACTCTGCTGCTCCCTCACCCTGGATGACAAAGGGTAAACCTGCTGTGGCACGTGGCTGAAGCGACAAGAAAAGCCTCTGTCATTCTAGGCTCCATGATCTAAACCTGTTCTGAACAGAGTCAAATAACTTGCAAAGAACCCTTCCAACTCTAGCAGGGCCATCATGCTACCAGCACAATGAAAATAAAGCAAGGCACACTTTAGCAGGGGGAAGAATAAAAAATAATTGCATAGTTTAGGTACAAACTGTCTGCCTTGTGGTATTCCTGCACAGGAAAAGGAAAGCCAGAAAAAGCTGCATCTGTTGCTATGGCATGCAAGTTTTTACTCTATTTAGATATTTATCTTAATAATATTCAGTATTTATTACAAACAAGCTCGCATATCAGATCATCTTATTCACCAGCACTGAGTCACCTAGCTAGTACAAAAAATAAACCAAAAACTACCAATACAATGAACGTTTCAGAATAGTCCACATCTGGGAGTGGGGGAAGTCAGACTGCTCAAGAAAAAGACTAAATTATTCTAGATAAGGAGAGCACAAGGAAAAAAAAGAAAAAAAGATTGCTTTTTGCCAAGACTAAATATGTTTTCAACCCCAAATTCCTTAACGTTTATGAATTTTTGGCAGAACATAGATCTTTGGCTCTGCTAAATCAGTGTTATAGAAAAGTCCCCATGGTACAGATTAGCTAATGACTCCCCAGTCAAACAAATTTGATTATTTTTGTCCACTGAACCACCAAATTCTCTGAAAAAATTCCTTCCATTCAGAGTAGAGCCTTGAGAGTTGCATTTACTGAGACCCTTCTTATCCTTTAAAGAAAAAAAGTGTCAGTGTCTTCATAAATCAGACTGTTTTTGCACCTGAACATATTTTAAAGATGAAAACTAACACCATGCTATGTTTAAAGAGAACATAAACAACTCCTACCCCATATTCCTGTTCTTCCTCCTTCTTTTTTGTGCTACCCTTGCTCAAATATTTTTAGTGTATTCTCCATTTTCCCCCTTAAAAGTAGACTCTGTTTCTCAAATGCTTAGTTTCTTTTACCACATCCTTTCCCTCCCCACCTCCAAGAGGGGGCTGGAAATGCTGACAGAGCCATAATTACATAATTACATAATGATGACTACAACTGATGGTAGAAACATCTCATACAAACACAAAAGAAGACGTATGGTTGATTATTACCAGAAGTGGCCAGTTGAGAAAAGAAATCTCACTGTTCTTCCTAAATACGCAGCAAAGTTTGTTAATGAGAAGTTCACAGTAACAACACAAAATATTGTTCCATAGCTGTACATTCTTTTTAAAATTACTCACTTCCCTCAAGTTACTACAGCTTTAGAACTGTGAAGGTGAATTCTAGCAATATGACAGACTATATAAATATTTATGATCACAAAGAAGCACTTCAACTGCATGAAGTTTGTTTTACTGTTTCAGGAGACTGTATCTGAAAAAAACACTATTTTTAAACAGCATTTAAAGATACAAAGTAAAACACGTTTAAGTAAGTTTCTAATTTTCATGAATTGTATTTTAACATAGATAGAGATCTAACTATTTTTCTACCATCCACTTGCTTTAATCAACACTAGCAAGATGCTATTTGAAATTAACTCATTGGATTGCACTGGTGTAACAAACTAGTTTGAGATTAGTTACTAAGCAGCACGAATCTGATTTAAAGATGCTAGTCTGCTGCAAGCAGCATGAATGCACAGCAAAGCACTTCCTACATTGTACTGAATCTTATCCACTAGCAAAAAGCAAGGATTCTAGTTTTTGGATCCTTCCAACAGAAGCCCTCTGCAGGAAGATGGATGACACATCCAGAAAAAAAGGTAAACTACTGCTGCCCCCTCCACCCTCTGTGGTCGCTAGTGGTTTAGGGTGGATCCTAACTCCACTAACTAGTAATAGTCCCAACTGCCAATCAGTCAGCGCTGAACAGTCCAACTGTGGCATCAACAGAGCATGTCAGTCAGACCTTCCCCACTCTGCTTTATGCTGGCAGGCCTTGCTGGATGAAGATGTTTGTAAAGAAATACCAGTAGTACAGCTACAGCAGCCCCTGGGCTCTTTTGTACACAAAAGTCAAGCAGGCTAGCATCCACTACAAAGAAACGCAGGTAATTTAACATTGACAGTTTCTGTAAAATCCAATGCCAAATTGCTCAGTTTACAGGAGGGAGCCAAGAACAGCTGGCTTCTGTGTAAGTGCAGGTATGATCTCAGCAACCAATTTGCAAAGTGCAGGACAGCGCCCAGCGGCACATCACAGAGGCCGTTTTGGGCTCCTAGAACTTTGTGTCTTGGTCTCAGTTCTACCCTTGGCGAGGGAGAGTTACCTGCACTCTTTCTCATTCTTCCCAGTGCTACTGGTACCTACTGATTCTGACAGATTATTACATGCATCCAAGCTACTTCCACACTTGGCTTGATTGTGCATGTTCATGTATCAATGCTTCAGATCCAATTAATCCTAATGCATCCAGTTCATGGACATTAGGATACCTAGACACTCAAATTCAGCCTCAAAACTAGATGTGAGATCTATAGTACTATGTAAGGGAGCCAAGCTCTACATTATTTTAAATAATGGATAATTGACTACTTAAAACAAGAAAGAAAACCAGAATAGAGGAGCATGTGGTTTGTCTGATGCTGCCACCTGCTGAAAACTGTGAGCTATGTCTCTATGAAATTGTTTTCCTGTTCATTCTTATCCCTGCAACTTGTAACAATATTACATGCAATTTCTTCAGCTGCAAAGAATTATACAACTCCTCCCCCCCTCTTCAATTCTTTCAACCATACAATGCTGAAAGTGTACAGCAGGTACAAATATACAATACAAGTCACTATTCATGAGATACAACTTGTGGGCCTGTTGCAGAATCCAGGTGTCTAGATATCACCAAAGTAAAAAGTTTAAGACTGTTGTTGTGAAGGTCCACAAAATTAAAGTCAGTGAGTTCTATCAGCGAGCACAATCTCTGCACTGATGGGATGATCACATGCTTATTACTGCTCTTTCTATGGAGACTGTCTACTGATCTAAATCCAGCATAAGATAATGCAGTATGATTACACAGACAAATGAATTCTAGCAGTGAAATTACAATCAACCAATGAGGGTCATAAAATATTCCTCAGCACATTCTTCAAAATTTAGTCATTTTACAAGCTGAACAAGCCACTGAAGAGTAAGTTTTACTTCTTACTTACACCCTTCTCTGTTGCACGAATATCTGTATTTCCATAAAGTGTTCCAAGACCAATTACTTTGCCACCATTTGTTCGTATATCGATTTTATGGCTCTGAAAAAGAAGTTTAAAACTCATATGGTTATGATAATCATAATTAGAAGACAAGTTACCCTGTTTTTCAAGCTGTGCCACCATAGATCACAAACATCCCTTTTAATGTGAAGACGGCTTCTCAAGTGCCTACCAAAACTGCTGTTTATTTCCAGTGGAGTCATACTCAAAAAGTCACCTTTCTTTGTAACCAGAAACATGAGGGAAAGAATGATGCTAAGGCACCCTTTATTCTCAATATAGGTGGGTTTGTTGGTTTTGCTTTGGTTTTATTTGTGTTTTTTTTTAACTGAAAAACTGGAGCCTTCCAGTGATCTGGAATCTACAGTGTCACAGAAATCTGTAGGATAATCATGTATATACACAAACACACCACAAAGCTACTTATACTTGCAGTATCTATAGTCATAAAGTTCAAACCTTAGCCCTGGAAGTGGAACCAGATCATACAGTGTTGAACTCCAACCAGATTCTAATTCAAATTAGCTATTTTGCATAGATCTGCATTACAATCTCAAGTTTTTCGACAAATAAATTAGGTTTCAAGTAAGACACATTATAGCTCTTACACTTTTTAGCTGCTGCATATAACTAACAAAAAAACCCAACTTACAGAAATACATACAAACTGATCTCAGAAAGAAAACCCCACAGGTCTTGAAAGGAAAAACCAACCATTTGTAAGAAGGGTAAAGAAAAAAAAAAAATAATTCAGTTTTAAATAATCCAACTGTATTCACAATCTGCAACTTCAACAAATCTAACTTTAAGAAGTCTATAGCTCTCAAAGCTTTTTGCTTATGCTCACTAGCATGAAAACTAAAGTAACAGAAGTAAAAAAATATTCAGCATTTTTTATACTTAATGCTGGGAAAGCTTTTTTACACACACACACACACACACCCTCTCCTTCATTTTCCTATACCACTGCCTCCATTTTCAGATATACTAGCTTCTGTTGAAAAGGGTATTGATCCTGTCAATGCTATTTAATTTAGAAGACCACCCATTACACTTGACAATCAAGCATATCAGAAATATTAAAGACATGTACTTATTAAACACCTGCCTGGATAAGCCATAATAAATTGCATTAAGAAGTTGCAATCAGATGGCAACAAGTTTAAGAACTTTAAAATAAAAAAGAAAATATGCAAGTCCAACATGGAAAAGATGGACTCATACCGTTCCAACACATTTCTGATGAAATCCCAAGAACCAGAAGTTTCATGGGGCTTCATAAGACAGGAAGAACTTTAGAACAGTGTTTCTTAATCTTTGTGTACTCAACTCCTGTTTTCTCCTCTTAATTTAAGAGGCTTTCCCACAGTAAAACACAACTCCCCTAACTTGAGACTGCAGCAGTGCCTCAGATCTTTTGAAGTTGCAAACAACTCAGCTACTCAGTTAAACTTCTATACAAATATAATACAAGTACACAGTAAACAGAATACTTAAATTAGATGCTTCAGCCAAACATCACTCCTTTGAGGCAGTTATCTTGGGCATATTAACAGAATATTGGTTAAAGAGCAAATCCTCCAAGCATATAACTTGAGGAAAATATGGAAACTTGTAAGATTAAAAGAATTTATGTATAGCAATGGCCTAGCAGTGTGGCTAAAGTTAGTTGAGTAAAATAAAACCACAACATACACACTTATTCCCTCTGCTATTATTATTGTGGTTTTTTTACTCTATCATATGTGGGATAGAAAAAGCTTTGATAACAACATAGGTCTCTCAACTTCTCCTCTCAGAATTATTAGACTATAACCTCTCAAAAAAACCCCAGGTTTTCAGAGGCAGGTATGAACAGGGACATTGAGCAGACAGCAGGACTTGCTGAGAGGAAGCAAGTTAAATGGTCAAGTAACTTTTTCATTAAGCAGGAATACTCCACAAGTGCTGCTTCCTTTCAGTTAATCTGTCACAGGGTTTCTCCTAGCCAGGAAGAGAGGTTTGAGTAAGGAGAGGTACAAGGCTTTCTAGACCATGACAGACATTAAAAGAAAACCAGAGAAATGTGTTCAGTTCAAAGAAAGGAAGGACAGTGGTGCAGGACTTTAAAAAGTCAGGCTCAGATGTGTGTGGTGAGGAAGGATGGCAGGTCTTCCACTGACTGTGCATGAGACATCTGGAAATTCTTGTTACCAGCGGAGTTACAGTCAAGGAGTCAGAAGTAATTGCTGAACCTAGAAACAATAAAGGGTCTCCTTGGTCCCACTGTCTCTGCTAAGCTAAAGGACTGTCATAAAAAGTAGAAGAAAAACATTAAAAAAAAGCAGCAGTGTTCCCTCAATAAAGAATTTGGGAATAATTTATACTCTGAAAAAGACCTAGAACTAGTAATTGTATTTTGAAATTACTGCTACTATCAGTTGTCTAAGAGACTTGGAAGGGACTGGGTGAACTGGGCTTTAGTCAATTACAAAAACAACAACCAATAAATAAAAAAATATATTCATTAAAACAACACTCAACAAATCTCACAGGCTGTATAATGCCTGCCACACCAAAAGCACCAGTCAAAATCCATTTAAAAACCTCAGAGAATACTAATCTTTCATTTTCAATTACTAGCCTGCATGATTGAGGAAGGTACATGTCAAATCTCTAGGTCTTCTCTAAAGACATCACTCAGAATACCAAAAACCAGCAAGTTTTTTTTTTAATTACAAGTTATACAAACAACTTTTTGCAGTCTGTGGCAAGTTAAAAGAATTAGCAGTTGTGAAGTCTGCTGGTGCTCTTGAATAATCCCTACATGACCAGATTTTTTATGTATTTAGAGTCATTGATCAACAATCTCTACTGTACAGAAAGAGCCTCCTGCTTTCCTGGTCAATGAGGTTTGTGAGCAGCATGACAGGGAAGTAACACTAAAAAGTTCTTTAATCCATCCAGGGGAAGGCAGTATCACTTCAGTATGCTCAGTAAAGCTCATTCCCTGCAGGGAGATCAACTCTTGTGCTGCACTACAGAATTTCTGTGAATTGAGGAAGGCTCAAAGTTTGACAGAGGAAATAAGCACCAAACTGCTCTAACCCATAATGTGGCTGTGAAGAATCAAGTCTCAGAAGCCACAGCAGGTGACTCTGCAGTCTTCTTCTCAGTTCCTTAGAGAGTACTGTTTCATTGCCACTTCAACCCTCAAGAAAAATAGAACTAACGTGCTCATTTTTAAAATGTAACATTTTGCACATCTTAGATTATACATGATAAAAGATGCCCACAAAAACAGTTAATTGTCTTCCCTCAGAGTCCTTCTTCTATGACATCACAAGAAATTCCTGACACTTATGACAGCATGCAGAGATGACTGTTACTATTGCTGGCCAAAACTACCTTGCTTTCTCATATTATGTAGTTTCTCATGTACTGCTGTTTGATTTTACTATAGGACAGTTTAATTTCTAACCAAAACTTTAGACAGCAAGAACACATTTAGTACTGTTAACTTTTGTTAGATTTTATTTACCTTTTGAAGAGTAATATGGTAAATTACACAGAATCTGGAAGATACAAGTTGTCACTGAATATGGAGTAAACCTGGCTTGATTGTATATTAAATTTCCTCTTAAATTTGGTTTCCCATATGTGTGCTATACAATTATCTCTTACCATGGTAAAAAAAAACAAACACATTTAAGTATTTTTGAGATACGAAAAAATCTTTCAACTTAGGAATCACCCTATTTGAAGGGCCTTTCTTTTGAATTTATACCTATCCCTGCAGGTACAATCTCAATTATTCAAGTAAAATTGATTCCAAATAGCACTTAAGTCAGATATACTTTGGTTATTTCTAAAAATGCCTGTGTCAGCAAACCTGAAGTCTTAAGACTGAAAAAGCAAGGTCACGATCATGATATAGAAAAGTATTTATCAGACATATTTCAGTCTGGTGTTTTGGACATGTAATGTGTAATGTCTGATTGAAAATTAAATTAAAGCATTTGTCAACAGCACTGATATATCAGAATTATTAAAAAAACACAAGGGGGAAAAAAAAAGTCCCAACTGAGCCAACATGACTATTCACCTACTAGACAGGAAATCCCACTCTGCATGGGTTTTTTTGAGAGGTGGGCAGGGCAGATATTAGGCTTACTACTGTCACTGTTTTAGCTGGCTTTGCCTGTCATCAAAGGTCCCTGGACTTCTGACTCCATGTTACTGACTCTGCGAGGCAATTGTATGCAATAAACAAGGGTGAGGTGCTATACACATAGGAACACTTGGAAATATCAGAGTACTTCTCATCTCCAGAACTGGTATTTAAGTTTTTACACTATATTCCACGCAATCCCATTTCAGACTCACTGATGGAGTGAGGGAGGGTTCTTTGTACCTTTATTGACTGCAGGACACTAGTCCCCTTCTCCGTTTCTATTTTGCAGTTATCACACTCTATTTTCTGTATCTTCATGCAGCCAGTCCCTGATGTTTTGATATCCAAATCTAGAATTAAGAGAGTTTTATTAGCAACAGAATGATGAGAGTCAGACCTATTTAACATAGTACTTGATAACTTGATATAGTAACTACATACAGTGGGGGGAAAAAGCAGCTTGTTACTACAAAACCTTCTTGTAAAGTTTGTCTGCACACTTTGAACTGTATGACTAGTATCACTATCTGTATCACTGTATCACTATCAACACCTGACATTGACAGTGTGTAAGGTTGTGTAACCATCCAGCTTCAAGAGTGAACTTTAAGAGGCAGCAGAGTGACTAACTCTGGCAGGGCATCAGCAGGGTGTGGTCCTTTAGTGAAGTGTTGTTTTTTTTACTTTTTAAGCAACTACTAAACTCCACCTCCATCTCACAGCTACCCTAGTCACCAATTCTATTAGCAATTCTACTGAGACATTTGGGTACCCTTCCCGTGGGTGGGAAGGTTGGTAGGTTGGTTGAGACCACACGCAGAGCAATAGGATTCAACAACACAAATGCGCAGGTCTTGCTTAGACGTGCTGCTTCTACTAACGTGACACAAAAACAGGCATAGAGGAGCCCACATGTGTCATTCTCCCCTAGCCTTCTGGAAGGCCTGATTTACCAACCCTGGCATGAAGAAGCATGTTTGCCTCTGGTCTGAATCACCTTATTACGGTTCGCAGGCTCCCACAAAAGAAATGTCAATAGGTCCTGTAGGTAACTGTTATCAAGGGAGTTATTTGAGCTTATAGTGCTTCGAGCTCACTTCTGAGTTTAAGGAATCAGAAATAAGTCTGAGAATATACAGTCTGGGGATTTTGACTATATTCATAATAAGTTAATTATCACCATAACCACTGGCAAAAGGTAAAGAGAGGGAAAGTCATTTTTCTCTTCTGAGGATAAAAGGCGGAAAGAAGAAAAAGGAAACGAGTGAGAGTCAGATGCCTTACTGAAAGTTTAAGAGAAAGATCATTAGCCTACTACTCTCCAGTGAAAAGGAGATCATCTGAGAAAGAAACCTTCATTTATCATTTAAGCACCTGTGAAAGTCTTTCTTTCACCTCCACTATCTGCTAATGTAACCAGAAATGCAAGGTGAAGAATCAGAGTATGTTTAACAAGCTCTGCCCCAACAAGATTCTCCAAGTCAAACCAGTGACACAGGAGAGGCTGCAGGTCAATATTGTCATGGTGCTGCTCATCACAGGTGCTGGAACAATGACAACAGTAGCTTGCAGACCATGAAGAGGAGAGACCAAGAACTCAAATGACCAACAACAGTTTTCCCATCTGACAAACCAGAAGAATACAACACACTACATCTTTGCCGCAAGAGTGCTACCTTATTGTCACAGGAAGCTACAAGTTTACATTTAGTGAAGGATGCAGACTGAATTCACAAGTAACAATGCCCTAAGAAAGAGGGCTGGAAGTGGACTGGATAAGCAGGTTTTCCAGAAAGCTGTTTTATTTGCAGGTATTATTTTCTTAGCCTCTTCATGGAAGACTTCCAAGATATACTATGGCAAAGATTTCAACCAAACTTTATGTTTCTTAACTTTAAGTAAACTAAGATTGGCTTTGAGGCATGTAAGAGCATAAAACCTGGCAAACTGGACTAGTGACTTTTATTAGAGGCACAAGGTCCAGCACCACAAGGTTTTATGTTGGTAAAACCTAAACAGTTTCACCAGACTAAAAATATATGACTGGTATCTGAGATATTTCTATTTGACCAATACTTATCTACAAGCTCTAGAGTTGAGAGAAAACTTTTCTGTAAGGTTTTACTTCTCAAGGAGCAGCTGCATTGTTTAAACACAGTGCCTGGTGAGACACAAATAGAGGCACTCTCCAAACATCTACACTTGGAACAGTATGTCCCTGAAGAGCAGAAACCTGAAGAGTTCAAAAAGAGAGCAATATTATTTTTGAAATACAAGCGGTCTAGCTCAAAACTGCTCAATTCATGCACAGGAAAGCAGCACAGTCCTTGATATGACCTATGTCCAAGACTTTTTCCTGTGTTGCTTTCTGAAAAGACAGAGGTCCAGAAGCTGGTTTGCTTCTGCAAATCTTGGATGTCACTCAGCTACATACCACCTTGCTCTTACTGCTTCTGTCAAAAGGGATGAGAAAGAGGGTTAAAAGCAGTCAGACTTGATAAGACTTATGTAAGAATAAGGCAAATAAAAACTTCTGATCCTGCAGGGGATATTATGGCCCTAATTTGAAGAGTAGATGAGTAGTGTAATCCTATCTGCATTGAAGATGGATGCTAAAAGAGGACACAGAAATCTGGGGGTTCATGAGTCTGCTATTAAGACACACCAGGGATTCCTGGAAACATACTTTGTGCCTTGATCCTCTATATAGTCACAGAGCTTTGCCGGCCTTGATACAGCAAAAATTAGCAGACAGGGAATGAAGCTACGTTGTGTCCCTAACAGGCTTCCTGAGGCAAGGATAAATGACTCCACAAAGAGGCAGGCTAAGAGCTGGATAATATTGCTAACGAAATTTCAACCAGCAAGGAGGAACAGGATACAATCTGTTTCAGTGCCAAAGCTCCAAAAATAGATAGTCTGATTGCTCTTTAACAAAGCTGAGGGCTGAAGTCAACTTTAGCCACGCAAACGTCAAAGAACACATGTAAATCTTTGAGGTGTAAAGGACCTAAACTGCAAATACATAAGGAAAAACAGATCCCTGGTATCAAAATTTAGGCAAAGATACTCCAGAAATATCACTTTAAGCTACAATATCTGAAATATGGTAAAATACCTTTTTTAAAGTGACTCTACAGCTCTGGACCACAAGAAGTATTTCATGATGATCCACTTCTCTGCTCACATAGGAAGCTTACCAGTAAGTAGGAATATATGTAAAATAATTCAGTCCACAAAAAAACTATTTATTGAGGGCTACTGTGAGGCTGTACATCTGCTGTGCTTAGGAGCAGACACTGATTATCTTTTTCCCAACTCATTAATATGTTAAGACTTCAGAAATGCACACTGTTGAAAACATTCACATCTGCTTTCCATTAACATTTACAAAAAGAAAAAACAACAACAATAAGAAATGTCTCAGGAGCTTAGGTTCTCCCCTCATATAAGTAGGAATAAAAATAGTTTAAGGGATACAATAAAATAATGGATTCACAGAAACATTCAAGATCCATGCATTTATTCAGTTTGCCTTAAGAACCTGCAGTATTTAGCTGAAAAGGGAAGAGATCTCATGGACTTAAATAAGACTGATGTGAATGAGTGAAGAGAGAGATAATTCTCTCCCACAGAGAGAATTTATTATAAAAATAAACAAAAAATAGTAATTTAAAAAACCATGCTGGCTTGTAAGTGGGCTGAGAATAGGAGTGCTTGATCCTGTGCCGGAGGGGACAGAATCTTGGTGTTCTACTTTGGGAAACTTGGCCACCACTTCAAAACTTACTGTTCTACTTCACATCGGCATAGAAACCTCTGCTGTCTTCACCAGGGTATAACATGGTAAAGCATTGGAACAGTTTGCCAAAGAAGGCTGTGTAGTCTTCATTCTTGGGGGGGATTCAAAATCAAACTGGATAAAGCCCTGAGTAGCCTCCTCTGACCTTGCAGTTGACTCTGCTTTGAGCTGGAGGTTGAACTAGAAACCTTCTGAGGTCCATTCCAATCTGAACTATCCTACAATACTAATACAATGTGTGGCCACAAAAGCAAAACTTAAGATCCACATGGGAAAACAGGACAGATGGATCTCAAATTATGGTTGTGCCAGACCTCAGCCGGGTTTGCCTCTAAGTACTCAGTCAATGTACAGTAACCAAAGAGCTGGTTTCAGGTCTAACTAGCACGTGCAGGTTGATACAGGGTTCTCTTTGTGCTGAGCAGGCTCTGAACCTATACACATGAGCCTACACTGTCCCTGGACTAAACAGCTAACATCTAAATAGAATCTGAATGAAAAGAAATAAATAAGCTAAACTAAAGAGAAATTAATTGACATCTATAATGTATGAAGGTTAAATGTGTCCGAGAGGATTATCAGATCATGTATGATACTGAAAGACTAAACACAGCCTAAGACCAGACACTCAGAAGTTGAAGATCACTTAGTAAGCAACCCAGTAAGTACAAGTTGCCTTTGGTTTAAAATCTGCATTTAAGCTCCCCATCTAGCATCTTCTGCATGTGTCCTGCAGGGCACATGGGTTTTAGCTAACCTAGAGCTTCCCGGATAAGCTCCAACCTAAAATGCAAAAACTTATGAAATACCTTAACTTGCAAAATGAAGACAGAAGCTAAGATACTGTAAAGACATTATCATCAACTTCTCACAGCTAAGTGACAGAAAGAGAGCTCAGATAAAAAGGTCTAAACAGAACGAAGTTAACATCTTCCTCATGCATGCAAGGAAGGCCAAAGAAACCCCAAAAGGCTTGAAGAGCAACAAGGTTCTTTCTGGTTTGAGACATGCTTTTTGAGGGATAAGCTCTTCTCCTTATGCCATGATGTTTAGCAGATAATTCTTTCCTAAATAAAGATAAGGAACAACCCAAGCACAAACTACTATTTAGAGAACCCAGAAACCAAGCCAGAGCTGAGAGGATACATAGTAGACCCTCACTGACAAGTATCAATTCTACTCCACTGAGTAAAAAAAAATAAATGTATTTATGTTTTAGGAAATATATCTCCTGATATGCCTGGATAACAGCATGACCAGACAATGCTAACATCATGCTAACTATGGGGTGACAAACAGCAACTAGTGGAAAGGGACTATAATCCACAAACTGCAGGAGGTTACCAGAAACCCAAGTGCAACAGCTTAGAAATCTACAAACTAATAAAGCCTATTTCAAGAAGGAAGATTGTAAGGCAGCCTGCATGGCTGATTGACATTCAAATTACAATGACATCCTGGAGAAACTGAAATACTAACTTACTAAAAGCTACAGTAACAAGACACACCTGCTACCAGAGAAACTAAGGGTAATAAATGGGATGCTGG